TGGCACCTTACTGCGACAAGCCAGTGAAGCGAGTTTAACCAGTAATGGTGAGGACTCTTAAAAAAAAAAAAAATTTGTAGCTATAATTGCAGAATATTTTGGACATAGTTCCACGGTTATAAGTGATTACAATTTGGTCTGAAAGAAACTAAACCAGTGGAAAAGATGATTTAAAATAATTTTACTAATGGATTATTGATAAAAATTTTGAGCAAACGAGAGAAAGAAATCGACTGAGCACAAACTGACCGACAGTATTATGACGGGGTTTTCGACTACTATTAGCGCGTTCTAATAAAAATTATCCCCCCTACTACTGGAATTTTTTTTTTTCTCGTTCTCATAGATTCTTATTAGAGACTAATATGGCTGATTTATCGGATCCGCTAGTGGCTTGTTGATAGAAATATAGATAAATCGCGAGTATCATCCAGAAAAAGGCAAATTTTATTCAATGCGGAAATAGAGTCTCAACAGTGGTGCACCAAAATAACACCAACAAACCACTAGTTCTATTTCTTTCACCTTAAATATGACGATAATTGCAGTTAGAAATGATCGAATCTGGAGTCGATGAAGAAGAATTGAACAATGGCTACGAACAACCACCGTTAATCGTCAAAATTGTTGTTTGTTTTATTGCTCTTATTTCAATGATTCTATGTTTATGTTTATTATTTATTAATTTTGATTAATTTTATTTCATTTGTTTTTTTTCATTTTTTTTTAATTTTCTTAATTATTTTTATTTATAAAATTATAAATTAGATTTGTGGTGAATTTTGAAATTAATTATATTATAATAATTTTTAATTTAAAATTAAAAATATGAAATTAAATTCATGAAAAAATTCATTGATGACGAATATTCACTGATGAAAAATCTATTTTTTAAAAACCTATTTTTAAACGAGTTTTATTCATTTCATTCCTTAAATTAAATATAAATGAAATATTATCAAAAATAATGAATGAAATATTGTCAAAATTTAATGAAATATTATCACAAATTAAATGAAATATTATCAAATTAAAACAATTGAAATGTTATTCGAATGAAATGATAAATGAAACACGCTTTGATCAAATTTTTGGCCAATTTGGCCAATTATTTAATTGAAAAAATAAAGTTTTAAGGTATATATTGAAGAGAATAAATTTTATTTTATAAATAATTAAAATTTACCAAAATCTGGCATTTTTTAAAGTTATAAAAATTCCATTATAAAAACTGAAAAAGAAAAACGATCGATTAAAAAATTATTATAAAATTAGATAAAGGCATTTTTTATGAATAACTGATATAACTGAATAACTGATAACTGATAAACTGATAGTAATTTTGATTATTTTCAAATTTCTTCTCAATTTCTTTTCAGACAAAAATTTTTTCAATAAAAACGATAATTTACGATATTAAAATTGTTGTTTTATTTTATTACTCTTATTTCAATGAATAATATGTACAGCAGTCCTTTTATTATTCCTATTATCCCTTTCATTAGAATATGCATATACTTTTTCTTGATCATCTCTACTGATTTGATAATGAGATCCTTTCTCCACTGGTTCATTTGGTTAAAAAAAAATGATAGGGGTGATTCCATATTACAGTGATTCTATTTTTATTTCATGGCTTATCACTCATTTCGAAAGATCGAAAAAATAAATAAAGCGATTTAAATGATAAATGATAAAAGAATGATAAAAATTAGAGAAGATAATTTTCTTTCTTATCCTTATTTTATAGATTTAAAAAATGAAAAAAAATCTAGAAGATGGAAAAAAAACGAATAAATAAATAAGGAAAAATTGCTTAGTCTTTCTAAAAAAAAAAATGTACTAAAAGAGAGAAAAAATCTAATTTTTTCCCAAATATTTTCCCACTTGTTTCAATTAGTTTCAATTTATTTGATCCTTAAAATGAATTTTTCAAATTAGAAGATAAATTTTTAATATTAATTATAAAATCTCTGCAATGCTCTGCATAGCGATAGTCAATTCCTGTATTCCTCTAATTTTTTTCCTCTACATTTCTATATATGTTCCATAGCCTTGGCTCTTAAAAAAAAAAAAATTATGCGATTGATTAAGGCCATGTAGACACCGCTGGCTATGAAAGTGAGGCATTTTTAAGTCGTTCGAGTCGACATGACGATAATACTGGCTACTTTTCTCATTGTCTAAGCGCATATAGATAGCGCTAGGGCGTCTACACAAAATCCTTGCTGATTGTATCCGTGAAATGACTGATCATGATTAATTGACCTATGATTTATATTTTAACTGCATCCATCAAAGAATTAGATTCAACTACTAAGGTTCTATTCCCAGCAGAAGTAAATCTGTCCAAAAATCCAGATGATGCTAGTGACTCGCCTGTATTTCTATCGCCAAAGGACTCTCTGGCATATTTGTCCAGTGCGACAATCCAGCGGAGCGAGTTTAACCAGTGATGGTGAAAAATCTTAAAAAAAAAAAAATCAAAAAGTTCAGCAAATAAATTATATATCGTTTTGCGTACGACAGGGCCTTACGAGCCAGATTTGTATTAATGGATACAATTGAGCCAGATTTTATCTGCTTAAAAAATAGCTTAATCCCCCGATATCCTAGAGTACCATCGGCCGTATTTTGTAGTCGTTATAGGATTGTGGATCCTAGGCTTTCCTTTTTTATGGTGAATTTCTCAGCGATTTCTAAAAGGTTGCACAAAATCTACTGAAAGATAGAATTATTATTTCCTTTGGCCTTTTTCTTTGGTTCATTATTATATATTTATATATATATAATCAGTACAATTCTTTTTTTTTTTGGCTAAATTAGTGCCACAAAATTAATTTTTATTGGCCTCCATTGGCTAGTACAATGATATCGTTTCGTTAAATAGCCACTTGTGGATATAACTATCGCTGGATTATCATCAAAAACCTGAATCACTCTCAATGACAAGTCCTATCGAGAAACAAGAATATAATTTAATGAACTGTTCTCATTCGAAGCAATAACCATCCGATTCTTGTCATTACTGCTTATCAACCTAAATAGCTTATCAATCTATCACTTTTCTTAATCATCATTATTAACATTTAGTGATCAGTTCAATATTATGAAATAACTACAAATTAAACTAGTTAGCCTAGTTCCATTGGTAGATGAATCGATAATGTGGACGATCCGAATCATATCGGGAATCGAACTATATTGCATCTCAACATATTAAAAATCTGCACCAATATACACTCACTCACTCATGTCCTTACACTTTTTTTCTAAGAGTACTCACCATTACTGGTTAAATTCACTCCACTGGCTCGTCGCATTCGGCAATATGCTAGGGAATCGCTTGGCGATAGAAATACAGGTGAGTCGCCAGTATCATCCGTATTTTTACGGATTTACTCCTGCGAGGAGTCGAACCTCAGCATCGGCGCTCCCAACTGCTCCTAACAGCAAACCACTCTATCCCCTAATTATTTCGGTTAATTTCGGTTTTTCATAAAATACGAATTTCTTCCAACAATTCTATCCCTCTTATCCAGGAATTTTTAAAAAATTGGTCAACCCCTCCAGCGCTCCTTCATCCAGGCTCTTTTCCAAAACACGAACTGTCAACAGCCTATTTCAAAGACGAAAAAATTTTATTCTCAATGAAAGAAAAAGTAAAAAAAATAGAGTTTATTAAAAAAATACGAAGTTCCCGTGTACCATTAGGCTAGAAGTATCACTGTGCGTCGGAAGAAATGGACACCGTCAAAGAGACCTGAATCTTCACCATAGAATTACTTAGGGGCAATAGTTGCAAGTGGGCTCCCCAGCAGCCAATTTTGATACCATGGTAGATTTACTCCTGTCAAATAAGACTCATCTGTAGCTTTCCACTCTCTGCAAAAGCCATCCAAACAGTCCAATATCCAATAAGGTCAACCGAATCGAAACTGGTTGAGATGCTCCTAGCAGAAGAAAATATTCCTAATATTGGCTAATTTTATTAATTTATTAAAAATAGGTTATCTTTTTTTCTTTTTTTCTTAAATCGATTTGTCACTATGAATGAAATGAACGAACGTCTGTCCAAAAGGTCAGAGAGGGTTGAAAGGTCAAAAGGTCAAATATTTAGAATCCAAAAAAAGCTTTTTTTTTGTAGAAATAATTCTTTGCGAAATAATCTCTATCGATCAGAACAAGTTATTGCGAAATATTTCACTCTGTTGTGCAATAATTATTTTCTATATAAACAAGTTTGCAGCTGATTTTGTTGCTAATGGGATGTGATGGAGGATGCGGTTGGGGTAGAATGGCTCCTTAACAGTTGGAGTGGGGGGGGGGGGGGGGGGGAGGTTTGACTCGTGCTTGTTAGGGGTGGCCGATTTTTCGCTGTGTTGAGAAGTGTCTTCAGGATTTAGGATGTTTGCAGGGATCCTAAGGCGTTGGGAAATTGTATAGAAGATTCTCCTAAAAATTAGAGGTTGAAAGTGCCTTGCGGATGAATGGAATAAATGAATTCTATTCGTTGGCTTTGTACGGGGGAGTCAAGAGATGGTCGCGCGCAATTGACGCATGTTGTTACTATTGTGTGTCATTTTGACGTTGTTAACAACCTTTTGTGTTTGAGTGAACGTCGTTCTCTTTGTTAAAACGAATCATTTGTCTCCATGGAGGTTTTATTGCCGTGCGATCAATTTCGCAATTATTAGTTATGTCATATGGCATTGGATAGTGGATTGAGAGTGGTTGTGGTTGTAAGAGAGGGGTTTAGGCGGGGAGAGGAGAGGAGAGACCGGCAAAAGAGAGGGGGAGGGGAAGGAACTGCAAGACATCTCAGCTTGATAAGATGAATTTAAATTGAGTCATTTCAGCTTAAGAAAAACGGAAAAATTAGAAAATAATAGCCATAAAAGATAGTTTTTTAAAAAATTTTCCCACCTGAGATTTTTTTTCGTAAAAATTTTTTTTAATTTAAAAAAGTTCGAAAAATATGAACTAAATTTTAGAAAACCATGGGAAAATTATCATTAAAAGAACTTTTAAAAGGCGTTATCAATGAAAATGATCAAATAAAATCGGATGATCTCGACAAATTAATCGATCGACTCGAAATTCTCGGGAAGAAAGTTGAAAGCGAATATGTTCCACGATCGACGACAAGCAGGCCAAAGGTGAAACAAGGATGTAAAATGATTGGTGAATGTTTGCCAGGTCAAATGATCAAAACTCGTAGCGACCAAGTTTGCTTTTTTTTTTTTATTTTTAATTCCTCTATTGAATTTTGTATAAATAAATATAAAGTTGAAATGAGCGATTCAAAATCCTCGAATTTGAGCACCACGCACCATTTGCGTGCCCTTCGTAGAGAGAGGCGGATAAGACGAGGAAGAAAGAGTTTATCTTTGGGATGAAAAGCGATATTAAAAGAGGATAAAGAAAATTATCGGTGATTTTGTGTAGTTACTGGATCTAAGTCCATATCATGCTAAGGTCCATATTTTTATGTTTCATATTTATTTAGGTGCAGAATTATGCTGGTGGATTCGTCTTTCGTACGAACGATGAGAACATAGTGCGTCGATTTTTGATTCTAGGAAGTACAACGGGTACGTACTATGCTTCAGGACGTACGTTAACTTTGGAGAGAGCTGAACATCTTTGTGATTTAATCGAACAAGGTTTCCTTTTTGTTTTTCAAATTTAATAGTATAATTTTTCTAGTGTTTTTTTTTAGTTCAGATTCCACCTTTTTTCTTCAATATACACCTATTCTGATTTAACTTCTTCAGGCAATTTTTTCTAAGTGGTCGTTTGGTGAAAAATTGTGTTGCCAGCATTTCCTAGCAATCATCGGTGTAACAATCCCCTAAGAGCTCTCATTATCTTAGAATTTTTTTCAGGTAAAGGAGCTCTTATTCTTCGAGAATTGGTGTATATTTCTTTAATGGGTAGTGCACCAAAACAGGAATCTACTTTGTTCGCTTTGGCATTATGTGCTCGCTATAGAGTTTGTTTTTTCATTTTTTAAATTATTTTGAATTTTTATGTTTAGGGCGTTGTTTAAATTATGAAAATTCTGTTTAATTTTCTTTAGTTTTCTAATTTCTACTGCATGTTATGCTGAAGAGAAATTAATGAATTTTTTGATTTTATTTATAATTAAGGTATGCAATACTAAAAATTGGACTCCTCCTGAGGTTACTGAATGTGATGAAATGAGAGATGAAGCAGGCCATGAGAAGAAAAGTGTTGATGGTGATGAAAGAGAGAACATGGATGTGGGTGATAAACAACAGATGGATACCAGTCAGAACATTGAAGCAGGAATGATGGATATGGACGTGGTTGATATACCAGAAGAAGCGGGCATGGATGAGGAGGATTTTTATGGTACAATAGATGATTTAGAACTAGATGAAGAGGTATTAATGGAAGCGAACGCAAAAATTGTTCGTCGGTGCAAGAAGAAGCGAAAAAAAAAATTTGATATAGGAAAAACTGAATTTACTCGAATGAAAGAAAAGTGGCTTCCTTCAGAAGTATATTTGGAATATCAACGATTGTTACAAAAAGTGGCTCTTTATGCAGTGCATAAGGTATTTTTAACTATTTTTAAGGTATTTTTAATGAATTTTTAAATCAAATTATTTCGTAAAGTTTCAAATAATTTTTAGGCAGAAATTTGAGATTTTTGGTGCTGACATTTAAGGATTTTCAGGTATGTCGAATCCCAACACATTTGTTCACATTTTTAAATTATTGCAAAGTGATCGCGATGAGAACGGGTTCAAAAAAGCATTCAACAGGATTCAGCCGAGCTTTCCGGGCGATGATTACAAAATGGTGCTTTTTTTTTCTTCTTTTTGAATTTGAATAAGTGTCAAGTTGTGTCAACTTAAAAAAAATACCACATCCGCTCAGATTTATTTAAGTTTATTTGTTTGCTTATTTATTTGGGTAATTTTAATTTGTTATAGGTATTATGATTATGATCCTGAACGACTGGTGATGCATATTACAAAATATGGCAGTCGTTCTGGTTATTGTCATATGGATCTTTTTCGCCTTTCGCATATCCATCCAAAAATTTCCTTTCCAAATGAACATAATTACTTCAAGAGGCATCTAGAATTCGATTGTATTTTCAAGACCATTGCAGATGGTATTTTTTTAATTTACACTTTCATAGATTTCTTCACCATTTTTGGTTAAGCCTAGTTTATCGAGAATTTCTTTGAGTTATTTGTTTGATGAGAGAAATACAGATGGCTAGGCTGGTCATCATCAGCATCTGACAATTCCTTTATTCCTTCTAGCATGACAATCCCAACTATGTCCATCCGCACTTCTTGGTTAACAGTAACTTCGCAATTCTAGAATATCGCCGTAAAAGACGGTGTAAAAAGCCGAAACTGGAAAATGTTGAGAATGAGAAATCCGAAGAATCGAAGCAGAAAGAAATGAAAAAGTTTGAAAAATTAAATTTTTTGGAATCTCGTAAATCGCCCACGGCTCCAAAAATCGAATCTTCAAATGCCATAAAATATCTCAAAAGTAGTCTTATCCTAAAAACGACTAAAGAACCTAACGAGGCAGTTGAACTAATAAAAACATTTGGTATGATTTCTTTTTTTTTATCCAGCTTTTATGATAAAAAGTTTCCAGGCGAAATTTCCATTTTCGACTTTGTATATAAATTTCAAAGTTTTCAGGATTTATGCACGAACATGTACCATCTCATCTGCTGAATTTTAAGGAAGTTTGGGTGGCTTTGTTGAAGGATATGCCGATGACAGCCTTTATAAGAAACCTCGGAAAAATGACTGCAGTTGGAGTCTTCGACGAGAAGTGTGTTTATAAGCATTGTAATGATTGAATTCGCTCCAGTGCATTTTGAAGAGTCCTGTTTTTGAAATTTGAGAAAAAAACAATTTTGGTAAATGAATGATTTCAGGGATTCTTGTGCAATGGCAGTATCATACTTGACCGATCAGCAAAAACTTCGTGACGCCCGCATTCATCCTTTGTCAGTGCTTGTTGCTCTATCCGCTTACGCTTTTAGAAGCGGCGATTGCCTGGGGAAAGTGGAATGTATTCCCAATGCGGAAATTTGCTCCGGATTAAGCGAATGCTTTGAACTTACTTTTGTCAATGTTAGCCCCACAAAAAAAAGATACTGTGTGGCTCTCGACGTTTCCGGTTAGTTTATTTATCATTAGGATTTAGAATCAAAATGTTTTTCGGATACAATTGAAGTTTTTTAAAAATTCACGCAGGTACCATCTATTAAATATTCGAATATCAGGTAGTATGACTCAACCAGCGGGTCCAGCGTCTACCATGAGTTGTATGCAAGCTGCAGTTGCTCTTTGCTATCTGCTGCTGAGATTCGAACCTAAGGTGATTTTTTACTATATCATTCAATCTTAAATATTAATGTTTATAAATTCACTTTTTTTTCTATTTTCTTAACGTTTTTTTTTGTTTTCCAGGTGAAAACGATGGTATTTGCTGCCGAATTTAAAGAGGTTCATTTCGATAGTAAGTGGACTTTGCACGAGGTTTTGGGCAATGAATATGAAAATTTAGTTTCGATCGGTTTTGGTAGTACAGATTGTGCTCTTCCCATGATTTGGGCACTGGAACAGAAGGAAGAATTTGATGTTTTCATCGTCATAACTGATAATGAAACATGGGCTGGTTCGGTATGTTAAGAAAATATTTGTCTATTCAATCCCAGAGTTTAGATATGCTTTCCAAGTGTCCGATAGAATTTTTCTCATTTTCCTTTTAAACATTCTAAGTATTTTTATTTTTTTATAATTAACCCAAAATGTTTAGGTTAAACCATGTGATGCACTATGCAATTATCGAAAAGAAATGAATATACCGGATGCGAAGCTAATCGTTTTAGCAATGACAGCCACAAATTTCACGATCGCCGATCCGAATGACTGCAATATGTTGGATATTGTTGGTTTTGATCCATCGATTCACGAAATGATTTCGAAATTCGTACTCGGCGAAATTTAAATATTTTTGCAAATAACGTGATTTGAATGTGGATACACAATAAGCATTTAATTTTCAAGTTCAGCTTCTGATTTTTGTCTGTTCATTAATATTTTATTTATGTTTCTATATTGTATTTATCCATTCTTTCCTTTTTTTTTGTTGTTCCATTATTTGTGATTTATTTATTGTTTTCTATTTCAACATAACATATTGTTGTTATTGTTACGTATCATCATGCATTATGGTCTATATGAGCTTTAATTTCCGTAGCACCGAATAAGTGGTATATACGCGGTTTTCTTATTTTTGGTGAACAATAATGTATATATGTATCGCTTTATATCTATCTTATCACTTAGGCATTTTCTATTTGTCGCTATTCCCGGTTTTATATTTGGATTAACAAATTTACACTCTCTATTTTACTACGGATTTTTAGTAGGAATGTATGTATATTCAATAAATGATTATTTGAGATGCAATAGGAGTCAATATAGACAAATTTCTTAAGGGAAATTGTTCAGCGAGCAGGATCGCAGATTTTGTGTAGTGTTGTAAATATAAAAATATTTAAAATTATAAAAAAATATAAAAAATTAGTACGATAAAATATTTAAAATTATAAAAAATAAAAAATTATAAAATTATGATTATAAAATAATTATAAAAATAAAAAAAAAATTATAAAAAATAAAAAAATAAGTATGATAAAATATTTAAAATTATAAAAAAATATAAAAAATTAGTACGATATTTTTATTCAAAGCATCATATCCTAGCACTCTTCACGGGTACTATAAATTTTTCTTTACTAGTTATGCGAATGCAAAGGTAAGGACGGCTAAGCGTCTAAGACCCCTCGTGTTGTATGGTTATGTTGTGAAGACGAATTATTGTGAAGTCGAAAACGGATTATTTCCATTCGGTTTCTTATTTTAATTTCCATAAAACCGATTAAATATAAATTGAGATTTTCATATTGTTGTTGTTGTTGATAAATGATAAAATATTAATTCTTATCATTTATATCAGCTTGTATATTTTCATTTCGCAATCGTTATTGTTACCCGATTTTGTAAACAATTTTTGACATTCTATTTTTAAGAGGTAAAAAATGGAGGAGTAATATTAAAAAATTACCTCTAAAAATTGTATGGGAATTTCAATGATTTGATAAATTTTAATTTTCGCTTTTAGTAAAAATGTAATAAATGTAAATGTAATTTAATAAATAATTAATTATTTATTATTATTAAAAAAACGTTTTTATACGCAAATAAAATATATCCTTTAAAATTCATCAATTGAGACAAATCAAAAGTAATAAAAGTAATTCCACTAGGCTTAGGTAAATGAAGAAACTCTTAAGGTAAGAATGAACCCTTATGATTTTCAATGATTTCGTCATTCCTATGGGTGATCATTTTCAATCTCGGATACTAACGGATTAGAAAATTGAGGGTTCTGCAGTGCCTTAGCTATTCCTAATAGTGCTCTTCTGGATAGAGGTCTCTGATGTTGTTTCTGGAATCTGCTAATACCAAGAAGCCATTTTCTTATAGCTTACATCTCTAGTTCTTCTATTAGCCCTTCGTATTTCTCTAGCTTCTCATTTTTTTTTCTTCCTGAAGTTCCTGTCGCCATGTCATTTATGTGCTGATTTCTGATTCATTTTTATCTACTACCACAATATTGACCAATACTTATTTCTATGTTTGGGTGGGAAAATCCCAAAGTCTTCGCTTTATTATTCTCAATGGAATCCCCTCACTGAGTTTTAAAAGGATTTAAGCCATATATCGAGCAAATATTCCTGTAGATATGCCAATGCCAGCTATGACTTTCACTATCTGTTGTTCCTTATCTGCATTTATTGCCACTATGTATTGTTTTATGAATCTTCTGTTTTTCCCATATATTCTTCCAGTATTTTATAGTTTCTGTTGTTTGTGGCTCTGCTGTTACCAGACTACTGCATTGAAGTCGAGAATATATCTTAGGAAGTTCCATGGAGAATAGAACATTTAGCCTCTTTTTAACCTCTTCTCCTCTAATGTATACCTCGTTAGCATAGCAATTTTAGTTTATCAGTCTCGAGAATTTCTGATGGGGTGTAACTAACTCTCTTATTTTCTCAGCATCCGGATATCATTTTTATTCTTTACACCTTTCTGTCAGTTGGCTAATTTTTTTTCTTATTTTCCAGCCTCTTTTTCCTGCATTTCGAAAAATACAGTGGCTGTGGCGTATGGCAAGAATAATTATTATAATAATCATTAAATATTTTAAATAAAATACGATATTCGGAGATATTTGCTTTTTTTTAATATTGCCTTTATCTCTCACCATTATCTCCGCTGATAAGACGTTTCCAAACTGTTCGGTCCGATGCCTTTTCCTTCGTTTAAGTCCGTGTATCGCTGGTCCGTTCGAAATCTTTCCCGATACTGTATCAATCCAGATCTTAACTGGCCTTCCTCGCTTTTGATGTCATCCCTCACAGGCCTTAGAAACTAATAAAATATGAGGTGAGCGACGAAGAACCCTGCTAGCCAGCGAAGGCGAGGTTTAAAATAAATAAGTTACAATATAAATTCAATATAAATTTAATATATAATAACATATAATATATTAATAAATCAATATAAATTTAATATAAATTCAATTTTAAATGTAATCAATTACGATTAGTGTAATCAGTTGCTATTACGATTTTCAAATGAATGATAAAATGGATGATAAGATAAAAGTTTCTCTTCATTATCACTTATCACCTCCATTAATTACTATCCTACCGTTTTTAGTCGGGAAAATTGCAATACCACCGGCATTTTCAAGGGTAATTTTGAATTCGCCGCGTTTCGATGGAATTGAACAAGTCATCCATAAATGGCAAAATTCGTCTCTCGACAAACTTTTCGGACTTGAAACATAGTTGGACCCGATGCTTCATCTGGAATTCATTTTTGTACCATGGAACCGATATTTATCTTTCAATTTTAAAAATTTTAGAATACCTTAAAATTATGTTTGACCATGGACGTAAATATTGGAGAGATATCCGTCTCCTTATCTTTGGCATTTAGAAATCTACGGGCTGGCTGGTGGCTGATGTCGCCAAACATAGAAGGTGAAACTAGGTTCTAAGGTTCATTTCCATTCTTATTTAGCTTACTCCTACTCTATTGGCTCTTGCACAGCTATTATTCATCTCACTTTGGTGTCTTCCGCTTATCAGTATGCGAATCTGTTAACTCATGTTTCCCAATTGCGAACGCGTTATTCAAGCTATAATGAGCAATAATAAACTACACTAACTCAATAAGATAAATCGATGGATTACTGGAAAAAAAATCGATAGATCGAAGAAATGATGGATTCATACATAGGTGGAAAAGGATTCGACGAATATTAGTCAAAAAAAATCACCATAAAGACGAAAATCCGCGTTTATATAGCTACAATTCGCTTGATCTATATGGCTGCGAAACATGGCCAGTGGGAGTGGAGGATATTAAGAAGCTATTAGTCTTTGACCACTCATGTCTAAAGTATATTTTACGGATCCATCGAGCTGATGAAATCGCACATGATTGTATCCATCTTCGCTCAAATATTACCTGTATTAATAATGTTATTACAGAGGGTTTGGGCACCGCCCACTATAGGAGTTGACGCATATTTCGTTACTTGCTAAACCCTGTAATGGTTAGTGTCAAAAGCGAGGAAGGCCAGTCAAGACCTAGATTGATACAGTCAAGAAAGATTTTGAAGTATAGGGTGACCAGCGATATATGGACTTAAACGATGGAAAAAGAAATGGCTTTTTTTACTACTTGCGATGGCGTCGCAGACGTTTTACCCTTGTAGCCAGCGGAGCCAGCCTAACCAATAATGGTGAGAGCTGTTAAAAGAAGAATTAAGTCGACGACACTAACAAAAGAGGACAAGATAATTCGAAAAAAATCGCTAACAGACCAGTGAGCGATGGAATTAACCAAAAACAACATCCAATAATGATGTAAACAAATAGCTCGAGGGTCGAATAAACACTCGAGCCAAAAACCGAACGATAGGACACGATATGACTCCAAGGATAGCAATATTCAATATTTCAGTATTTCTTTCCCACTTATTTATGGATCTGTTCATTCCTTTGCCACTCGGCCACTATCGCATCACCCTTACCAAAATTACCAAAACTGTAGTTAATTCCTTATCATTGCTTGATTAATACGGTTGAGATAATGTGTTCACCGCTGAGCCGTTCACTTTTAATGATAAGTTTTATTATTATGGAATCTGTGGTGATCTCAACTGAAGAACCGCATGTTTAAAAGTTATTATGCGAAACTAATGATATTGTTGATCTTTTAAAAACAAACCTATAAAAAATAATTACTGGTTATCACTTTTTATCACTATTGTTAATTATCATTCGCAATTCATTTAGTGAAATGATAATTATTAATTACTGGCTAAGCTTAAGAAAAATTCCTTTTTACAATAAGCACTATTTTTGGCTTTTGCTGGCTTCGATTAACTATTTTACTAGTATTTAATAATTACTAATGGAGATCAAGATGGCCACAATTTAATGATCTGCTCCAGTCTGTAGGTACTAGAATTCAATCCATATTTTCGTTCAACCAACGCAATATATGGTGACGAGCCATGGTTAAGTCAATCGCAAAAATATATGCATATTGGATATAATTTTACGCTTAGCAATAATGATAAGAATCTTATAGATAAGAGTTCAATCTTATTGATAAGGGTTTATTGGTCATTCGAGTTCTTTATATTCATTTATTCATCCATATAGTATTTATTTCATCAGTGAATACTTGATATGCGTGGTACATATTGATTTGACACACACACTTGGCGGTTGGTTGGTTCGTCGAAAGCACTTCATCAATCGATAAAATCGCGCAGTATATATTAAGTGTTTTTTTTTATTGTTATCAATAACAAATAGATAAATGAAATATAAAATTTTTATAAAAATCCATAATTGAACGAAGTAAAAATGAATATGTGGTACCGCTAATAAAACCATGCGAAGAAGCATCAAATAATAGGTCAAAGGTCAAAACACTGACCTGAAAATAACTTAAAAATGACCAAAATTATTTAGGAAATAAATATTACAAGCATAATTTGTGGCCATCCATAATACATCAAAGAAGTAACCCGACAACAGCGATCAGCTGTTTCACATATGATCTAACAACTTTATTTTCAAGACTCTCTTCGATTTTCATATTCTCTCATTATGCTTATTTGTCTAATCAATTGTATCTTTTAAAAATATTTATTGTTTCGTGGTTTCTCGTCTTTTTCATTTTTACTGAGAGAGACAACGATAACGATGAAATTTGTGCGATGCGGCGGTTCTTCGATATTCTTCATTCGGTTGTTAAGTCATTTGGATCGGTTCGTGGATCGATTTTTCAAAATTTTTCATATGAGTCAAATTTAATTGAATCGAATTATGCGTGATTTTAATCGATGAGAAAGATCGTTTTTGCGTGGGTCAATAGTTCAATAGGTCAACGACGAGTTGCGAAATGAATTTGGTGCGCATAATCGATGTGTTCGCTTTCTTTTCTTTTTTTTTTGTGTCGATTTTCTGGATATTTTATATGAAAGGTCACCAAAAGGTCGCCCATATTTCAATATTCTTATTTATTATTTTTAAAAAAAAAGAAAACTTTTTTTTTGAAATAGTTTTTTATTTTATATTTTATTTTTATTATTAAAAAAATCAAATTTTTTTAAATAAACTTTTTAAATTTATTTATAAAAATTTTATGAAAAAAAAGAAGAAAAAATGAAATGAAATGAAAAATCTCTTAAAAATTTTTTAAATTTATAATCAAAAAAGAAAAAAAAAGAGTTATAAGTATTTGCGCGCAATTTTCATAGCATTTCATCGATATTCGTTTTCTACTCTCTACTCTATTATGTTCGTATTTTTATTCGTATACGTGAATTTATATAACTTAAAAAAAAAAAAGTTTTTTTTTGGTAAAATTTTTTTTTAGAGAACGGAGTTGCGGCTGACAACTTCTTCAAAAGCAGGCATTGTGGAGTCAAGTATAGCAGATCGGTGTTGTGACCCCCGCGAAGCAGGTGGTCCACCAGCTAAAAAATCTAGGTCACCTTTCTTTATCGCTTTTTTAATATCAATAGATTTAATAAAAAATTTATAATATTTATTTATATAAGAAATTGTTGATCATATGGATCATATAATTCTATCAAAGAATGAAATTCGTATGATATGATTAAATATTTTCACGTAGTTCCATGCTTCATAAAAGGTGGTGACTCGCAAAAGGAGCAAAAATAAAAAATAGGATAATGAAAGCCCTTTAGGCCCCATTCTATGATAGGGTGATGGAAAGAGTAAAACTACGAGCAAAGTTGGAACTTACAAACATATAGAGCAATGCTGTGGTTTAGGCTGACGACTGTTGCAAAAAACTGCTGCATTTTAAGTGGTTTTAGAAAAATGTAACGAGGTGTGTGTGATTTCTTTATAGGCTGCCTTTTATATAAGACGACAAATTAATATGGGAATAATTCTTTTCTCAATCTCAAATTTTTTACCAGAGACTACTGGGAGGGTGTCTTAGGTGTATTTCTTGCTATTTTGGTGAGTGACTTTCGATATTTCTATTCGATTTCTTATTTTTCTAGTTCCGTGGTCACAACAACTCTTTTTCACAGATAATGCCAATAGTATGTTATTGCTTGTTTATTATTAAAATTTAATTTTTGTAGACCAATGGAAGCTGCAACATCACCAGGTTCATCAAGGTCTGTTGGTCAGCGAATCAGTGTTAGTTTTTTTTTTTTTTTTTTGTGGTTAATATAGGAAAATAATAAATACTCTTGGTAATTGTTAGCCTAGTTGCAGTAAATTTGTTAATTTTTTATTTATTATTATTTATATTTTTATATAGTTTATTTTTATTATTTATATTTTTTATAGTAATAAAGATGTTGCTTTATTTTTATGCTAAAATGTTTATGTTTTCAATTATGATTTCTAAATTTTTATTTAAATTTTTCAACTATTTTTATTTTTTTCAGATTAAAATCGTTTTTTTTTTTTTTTTCATACTCATTTCAATTTCATACTCATTTACTGAATTATATTTTTTTAACAAAAAAATTCGTTTTTTTTTTTTGAAAAACAATTTTCAGGAGTCTTCGATGAGAGAAACACAAAAATTATCACCAATAGGTAATGTGTCAGTTAATTCACCAAATAGCGAACAATCTGTCCGTAATCGTTTAACAGCAATACAAAAAAATACAATTCGTGTTATTGCTCAATATCTTATGAAAAATGGCTTGCAGTAATTTTTTTTTCATTTTTTTCCAATATATTATTTAGAATATGAGAATAAAATATGCTTTTAAATTTTTGTAGTTTTTGTATTTTTAATTTTTTGATAAAATTTTTTTAATCACTATTATCATTATAGGAAATCAGCTGCTTTATTAGTTTCGGAAAGTGGATGTCGTGCCGAAAATGGCCTTGCTAGTTGTTTTCGTAATTATATTCTTAAAGGTGATTGGACTCGCGCATTAAAAATTCTTGATAAAATCACGGAATCTATTCGTTCAGTAAATAATGATGGTTTTAAGGAAGTTCGAGTTAGACTTTTAATCGAAAAATATGTTGATTTAATAGCAGATGGAAAAGTTAGTCTATTTTTCAGATTGTTTTTTTTTCTATTTTTTTCATTTATTTATTTATCTTTAATGAGGGAATTTAATGATTTTTATTTTTAAAATATTATTTGATTGTTTGATACGGACTGTTAAAATGTTAAGATGAGATTCTTGCATTGTCGAGTCACTCGTGAATGCAGATTGGTTTTTCAGTGGCCATTCGGATTTCATGCTTAATGAACTCATATCAGTGGAAAAGAATTTAAAATTTTCTATTTGTAGTTATATTTGTTAAAATTATTGAATGAGTTTATTTGGAAAATTACAGACAATTGATGCATTGCAATTATTAGCAACGAATTTTCCATCTGATGAAGTATACTCTAATCTTCGAAATGATTTAGCCAAATTTTTATTTTATAACCCTCAGGTGAGTTGCTTGGCTTAAAACATGTGATTAATAATTCTTATTCTAGGTTAGTTACTCGGGAACAATTGTTAAAACGGGTCACCAAGAATTTGAATCAAATCAAATCTGATTGATTCAAATTATTTATTATTATTTTGATGCAAAATTATGTAAAATTTCCGTATTGCAATGTCGTAAATTCAAATTTCTATAAAAATAAATGACATAATGTTCAGTTTAATGAAAAAATATTTTCACGAAAACCATGAAAAAAGAAAAATTTTAAAAAATTTTTTGCGATATTTTAGACTGATGATATTTACAAAAAAACTGGTGCACATCGAAGTGAAGAAGAAAGAGAAAAATTATTGGTGGAACTTCAACCATCGTTTCCAACTGATTTCATGTTACCTCCTAATAGATTGGAGCAATTAATAAGCCAAGGTTAATTTTAATATTAAATATTATATTTTAATATTAATATTAATATTATATTTTAATATTATTTTAATTTTGATATTAATATTAATTATTTCTTTCATGTAAATTATTTTATTATTTATTATTTATTAATTTATTTATTATTTATTAATAAATTTATTATTTTTTAATTTAATTAGAATTGTTATTATTAAAATATCTTTCAATTATAATCCGTCAATCATAGATTATCGGTCACTTAAATTTTAGGATATTTTTGATCTTTTAAATTTACTGTGCTTAGAATTACGTTAAAATAAGAAAAATTAAATTTTTTTAATAGCATAATATTCGATATAATTTTAATAACATAATTTTTACGAACTTTTCTCCATTTTATTCTCAGCTTTGAAGCACAATGCCATGTTAGATTTGTTGTTGCGATGTCTATTTTTTGATTAAAACTGGTTTTTTTTCCTATCTGATAATTTTTTTATATATTTCCCTAAACCATTTACTATTTGCTAGAATTACTAAAAAATATCATTTTTTAGCATGGCAAAAACAATGTGACTCGTGTCCTTTGCATCAAAATCCAGGACTAGAGGAAGATCCTGATTTCGTCTTAAAGGATCACAATTGTGATTGGAATCGTTTTCCTATATTTTCACCTCAGGTTTTATATTTACATTTATTGTTATTGTTATTTTCATTCTTTTGTTTTGTTTTTATTCCATTGTATTATAGGAAATCGATTTTCATACAAGCGAAGTGACTTGTTTATCTTTTTCACCTTGTGGTAAATATCTAGCTACCGGTGCGCGTTCAGGGCCAGTTGCTTTATGGAATGTCCTTTCGAATCATGAAATTGGAACTTTTAAAAGTCTTGGGGGTTCGTTTCGTTTTTTATACTTAATGTCTGAAATCTCAAAAGAGGGGATTTCTTTATTTTTCTTTTTATAAATTTTCTTTTATAAAACATTTAAAACAAAGTACCATAAAAATAATTTTTATTTAGATTTAATTTTGGCTTACTTTAATATTTGAGTATTTCTTAAAAATTTTGTTGTACAGTGGTCCTCAAATTTTTTCTCATTAATTCTTTGTCTATTTTTCCTATTTTATCCTTTCCTCATTAGTTAAAATGCAAAGTTTCGTGAACACATTATGGCATGAGCGCTTTTCGTAGATGTTTTTGTGGGTTGAATGAAACCTGCAGACTCCGAATATAATTTATTTGAATGCAGTGGAAAAATATTGGGGTATGGAAAATTATTATGCATATACATATTGCTGCTGATATCAGTTAGTTTATTACCAATATTCCAAATTTAGAATTTGGAATAAATGCCGAGTTTTAGTTAGAGAATAGTAAAAGTAAGGAAAAAAAGTTTTTTCCACTGCAGTTCATAACTGTTTGTAGTGAAATTTTTTTTATCGACCATATTAACCATTAGTCATATTTCAGTTAGCCATAATTTTGCAGAAGAACATGATTGTAATTACGTGGTATGGAGTCATGATTCCTCGCTACTGGTAGTAGCACCAAGCACATCAGCTGCTTCTAAAATCGACGTTTATGACGTCCAGAAGGGTGAGGCACTATGTTCGGTTGACTGCCCTAATTACGAAACAGTTATCGTAAAATTTTGTCCAAACTCGAAATATTCAATCGTTTATGCAGATCAATTATCTCATTTTATGAAAGCGGTAAGTTTTTTGGGCTCTCTCATATCTTTTCCCTTTTAAACATTGCTTTATATTTATCTATAGCATAAGGATAAATCAAAATCTTCCACTTTTTTTCTATTATTTAACTATATAAAATCCTGGTGATGCTGGCGATTCACCTCTACTTCTATCGCATGGGGCTGCCTGGTATATTAGTGCGACAAGTCAGAAGAGCGATCAGTAATGGTGAGTGCTCTTATAAAAAAAATTATAAAATTCCAATTTGAATATTTCAGACAATCATTCAAGATAATGTAGAAGTCATTGGAAAATTCGAAGGTTATAGAATACGAGCTTTGCATTGTATGAATAATGAGAAAGGTGATATTATTGCAGCGGATACTCACAATCGGTTTGTATTCGATTCTTTATGAAACTTCAGAGATACTTACAGGATTAATTTGGCATTAGTTGGAAATGCTTGAAAATGCTTTTTTTCCGTTCATATTCTTTATGCATAGGTACGTCATTCACCCGTTTATTGTTTTTTTGCGAAGTTTTGATATTGTATATTTTTTAGTTTTGTATGTAAATTCCTAATTTTTATTTTTTGTTTTTAATGAATAAGGACCACTCTTTTTTCAACCATCTGAGTATTCTTTTATCCTATTTTGGGTATATTATATGAAGGTTATGAAAGTCTCTCAAAGCTCTCTGGAAATGATTTGTTGCTGAGGATAGTACGAGGAAAGAATCCGAAAAGGATAAAAAATTCAGCTACAGAATCGATGTCTATATTCATTTTTCAATTCCAAATTCAAGCTAGGTATAAATTATCTTGGAGATCATCTTTATGGTCGCTAGAACTGGGAAATGATCGCATATATTATCATCGTCACGTCTATGCTTATTTGGGCTGCCTGTGTATTCAAAAATCCTCTTGACGATATCACTCCAAGTCGCTTCAGGTTGGATCTACACATTTGGGTCTATTACAAGATTTTGCATTCTATAAGGAATGCGTCATTTGAGAAGAATATCATCTGTCGATAGGCGATGATTTTTGGAAATATATTTGGAGAGGAAATATTATATTGCGAATGTAATCATGTTATTGAGATATCGTGAGATTTGATTCACATGGTGGCTACGTACCTTATAGATAGAAATTTGATAATTTGATAAACCAAATATATCTTGATATCTTTCATTCTCATTGGCTGTACTCTGCAATTTCTCCATGTAATTATCATTTGCTATTATATTAGAAACTAATCCAGCATATTTAAAAGTTGGTATTTCTTCAATTTTAACTATGGCACATTCGACTATTGGTAAATCTTCCCTATTTCTCGTGTAAGAAATTTTTATTCATTTTTGATGATATAGATTTCGATGGATTATTTTGTTCCAAAATTATATTTTAAGATTGCATCGAATATTTTAGAATTCTCATTTAACGAATTGAATTGAACTATTTTTTGATAATGATGTTATCATTCTATTTTATATTTTTTTTTATTTTTTTCCTATATAAAAACTCGGCTACCATTGTGAAATCGACTGCAACGTTGTATTATAACCGAATTCGAACACCACTTCACCACTAATTCCTTTACATTCACTTTTTGCAATTATTTTATCGATAAAGCATGGAACCATTTATTCGTAGACATTTAGGTTATGTTAGCCTTTCAGGCCTTTCATACTGAGCATGCTTCAACTTCAGTTATATATTATAATTTGCATTTTTGGTTTTTTTTCTTTTCTATTCTATGGCCATTGCTACCATAAATTTTGTTGGTGCAAAATGTTTATAAATTTATAATTATTTTAGGATCCGTTCTTACCTCTTTGAGCCACCGCATGATGAAACACTTTTTGTTGTGCCAGCGACAATAATTACTTTCACCATCGATTCAACTGAACGCAAGCTTCTGATTAGTACGCGTGATCATGGTTTATATCTATACGATTTATGCACTCGGGTCCAATTGATAAGGTATAATGGTGCTTATCAGAATAATTGTTGTATTCAAGCATGTTTTGCGGGGAATGGTTTGCCGTTTATTGCTACTGGAACCTATGGTGAGTAAAGCGTTGAATTGTATAAATTTTATTTTATCATCCCCATCTCTTATATGTTGCAACTATTTAACATTATGAATTTCCTCTATTTATTTTTAATATTTTCATATCGATAGCATTTTTTGAAGCTATTATTCTTCTTTTTCTCTTTTCTTTCCGATCGTCAAATTTTTATTTTTTAAATTTTTAATTTTTCTAGATCGTCAAATTGTGATATGGAACGAAATAACGGGAAAAATTGTTGCAAGATTATCTGGACATCGTGGTACAGTAAATGCTGTCAGCTGGCATCCAAATCGGCCTCAGATCGTTTCTGTTTCGGATGATAAATCGATAAAAGTCTGGAGCGATTTGCATCGTTCCGCTGTACCTCCTAGATAATAATGATTTTAAATAAAACATTTTGAAATTTAAATGTAATAGGATATCTACTAAACTAATGCATTTTTATTTTATTTCCACGGTTGGAGATCATTGTATAGCTTCGATTACCGTTTTTTGCTTAAGCATAAACCATCTTTAAATTCCCCAATTTCAATATTATTTAGTCATTTTTAGCCAATTTTTTATTATTTTGTTCAATTTTTTAAATGATTATTAATGCTAAAATTTTTCTAATAGGATCTAATAATTATTTAGCTTATGGCTTCTTCAGAAAATTAAATTTGGCTTTAGCAATGATGGCGGATATTCTTATTATATCGTTCTCGGTTATCTTCATCGTGGCTTTATGTTTTATTTACTCAGTTCAGCTTATCTACCTCTGCCATCTGAAATATATAATAGAGATTATATTTGCTGTAGAATCAAATCTATGATGACAAATCAATTTCTAAAATGCGTTTAAATGCCTCGATTTTTAGAAATTTTATTCTTCTTGATAAATAATTTTTGATTTTTTCATAAGCAGAAATGGTTAAAATGTTTAGAGGTTGGTAAATATTCATTTTTTTAGTTTTTTTTCTTTCTATTTTAGAACATTAAACAATTATCGAAATTGATTGAAATTGATAAGAAAAAGTGGTATTTTTTTTTTGATATTTTGAAGTTACCAAAGTCGTTTTCAAACGTTTTAGTGATTAGCGATTTTCCTTGTACTAAATAATAAAATTTTATTTCCTTTAAGCTAGAGGAATCGAATTTGCCTTTGGTAAATCATTCAGTCATTCAGTTTGTAAAATGTTCTTGTTGATTTTCATATGCCATTATAATTAACTATCATATGCTGTACATTTTAATATTAGAGCCTTTCCCTATTTCGCCATTTCCTATATGAATTTGATTTACAAAAAAGAAAAAAATAAACCGATTTTGCAAAAAAGAAATTTATAAAATTATTTATTTAGCCAAATGAGAAATCTCTCTCTTTTCAAAATTGCGAAATCCACAAGTTTCAGGATTGAATGAAATAAATTATAAAAGATTTGATTATAAGCTTTAGAAAATTTATTTATTTTATTAAATCCATTCATTCTGCCATCTTTTCATTATCATTTAACATTATCATTTGTTTCGTGATAAAATAATTATTCAGTTATTGGATATGTGAAATATTATCAATGGTGGTAAATATTGATAAATATGAAGTAAGGAGATGTGTTTATTTTATGGATCGGCGTCCTTTTTTTCTTCATTGTGAAGTGCCCGTTTAATATTTTTTTTTTTCTGTATTTTATGATTTATGGATTATTAATAAAATTTTTTATTTACTCGAGAAAAATGAATTTCTCTTTTTTTTTTTCAGATTTTTCCAATTTCGATAATTTTCTTAATTAGTAAGGATTCTTTCGAATATTCATTCTATTAAAATATTTTCTTCATCTAATTTTTATATAATATTTGGTAAAAATAAGTTGTATTCACATGAATAAAAAAATAATTCAAAAAATCGACAAATTCTTTTCTATTAAATAAGTATTTTATTAAATAAAATAATATGAAGATGCAAATAATAATTATAAAAAATACTTATATAACTTGATGCTGAGAAAAGATTTAAAAAGATTTATAAATTTGGTAATTCTGGTATTTCGACAAATGTTGGCACTGAATAGATTGTATAACCATCACGAATTCCATAATATTCCAATGTTTTTTCATCGTTGAGATGGTGAACTGTAAATAATAAATAAATAATAATAAATAATAAGTAAATAATAAAAAGTGTTTCTTCCTCTTCCTCTTCTAATAGCTTTCAGCATTACTGGTTAGATTAGCTGCGCTGCCTACCAAAAAATAAGGCAAACCGTTCAGTCCGACACCATCGCTAATAATAATATTTATCGCATCGATCTAAGTACATCACATGCATCGGAGGTGAACGAGAACGTTCTGTTAGAAAGACCTCACCCTTTCACCACAGAGTCACTTAATGGTCAAATTACAACTGATATCCCAGCTGATACCCGAAAATATCGTTTTATATTATTTGAAATTTTGGAAAAAAATCACCTCACCTCCAAAGATGATATATTGCACTTGTACGGGAATTTCAGTGATCTCACAAATTTTCTTTTTCACTTCGCTTATTGTATCATTTAGTGAAATCGAAATTTCTATCGTATGACCAGCGTATTTTCTTGTTTTATTATAAACAATAACTTTTAATTTCCTTAAATAATTATTAAAAAATAGTAATTTTAAATAGAAATAATTTAAATAATTATTTATTATTTATTTATTAATAATTATTTATCTAAAATATTGATTTTACTAGTTTTAATATTTAATAATATTTTTAATTTTTAAATAATAATAGTAAATATTTTTTAACATTTTTAATTAATTTGTGATTTTAAATGATTTAATATTTATTTAATTATTTGTTTATTTAATATTTATTTAATTAAGTTATATAAAAGAAATTTATAAAATTTTTAACAAATTAATAAATTTAATAAATTTTTAATAAATAAATGCAAAATTTAGAAATTTGATGAATATTTGCTTCAAAAAAAGAGAAAACTTAAAAAAATGAAATCAATTGGAAAAATATTAGAATTATTAGAAATATTAAATATTAAGAAATATTATTAAAAATATTAGAATATTAAAATTAGAAATTTTTAAAAAACATTAAAAAATATTAAAAAAATTTTTATTAAAATAAACTAACATTTTAACGATTTCGTTGTCGTAGATTTATAATAGAAATTTTTATGTTTAAAATGACAATCGTTTGATTCCAATAAAAATATTTTATAAAATTTAATAATAACAAACCAACAAAATCCATTTTCGTTTTCCATATAATATAATTAACTAAAATCATTCAATTTACTTTTCAAGGCAAATATTCATTGCCTTTAATTTATATTTATATTTGTAAAAATTTTTTGCAATAAAAAAAAATTGGAAAAATATTTTAATATTTTATTTTATTTTATATTATTTATTTTATTTTATTAATATTTTTATTTATTTATATTAAATATTTAATATTTTAATAAAAATTTTAAAAATTAATAAATAAATTCAATCAATTTTTAATAAATAAATATTTTTTTAATAAATTTAATAAATATACAAAATTTGAAAATTTATTGAATAATTGCTTTAAAAAAAATCGAAAAATGAAATAAATGAAATAAAAGTCAAATGCCCATTATAAGCTGATTTAGAAAGCGCCTTATCCTTATCGCCTTAGCTAATGAATTAAGCCAAATAAACAGCTATCGGCTGTTAGACGAAGAGAAAGAAAAAATGATTAAAAAATTTCTCCAAGGGGAATTTTTAGAAATTTTTCAAGATCATTTCATTATGGCAAATTATTATGGTTCAGAATCGTTCATTGGTCTTGTATAACAAGCAGCCAACGGAGCCAGCGGAACCAGCGGAACCAGCGGAGCCTTGTAAATTTCAAAGGATCAGCAATATTTGCGGAATTAGAGAGACAATGGAAAAAGGAATGGCGTCTATTACTCTCAGCGATGGTGTTGAATCGAATAGCTTGGAAATATCCTAACCTTATAGCCAGTGCAACTGGTCCAACCAATAATGGTGAGAGGTGTTAGAAAAAGAAGAGGAAACTCTCCCAAAATCTGTTGTATAGTATAACATTTTCAAAATTCTATTCTATCCTAGCACACTTAATTAAAAAAAACATCCTCGTAAATCCTGCATATTGCTATAACATTTCCAGTAGACTTATTATCATCTAAGCCTTGGATCCATGAAATCGTTATGCGTTTTCTCTCTCTATGCGTTTTTTGGTAGATCCCATTGGTACTCCTTTAAAAACCTGATACCCGATGGTACTTCATTAATATCCTCTTAAATTGCTCTATCTTCGCGCAATGCGACCCTTTAAATTCACCTTTACTCTTTTATAATAAAATTGAAATTTGGAAATAGTGAGGGAATAAGAGAGGAAATTGAGGATATTAAAAGAATAAAGGGAATTTGGTGAGTATGAAAGCGCAAAAATTTCACCCCTTGAGCTTATTAAGGAAAAATTAGAAACCAGTTTCACTTTTTTGATAATGATTTTTTGATAACAAAACATGATAATTCATTTCAGAATATTTATAATTTATAAGTAATTTATAAGTAAAATTTACTAAAAATTTCTTCAAATCCTCTTAAAATCCACCTTTCAGTGCCCTTAGGACCCGTTATTTTCCTTATATTGGCCCTTCACGCCAATCCCTCACTAATCCCACTATATCACATAGGCCTTTTTTCACCACTTTAAGCCTTTCAATCCCCAAATCCACATTTATAGTTCTTAGCACTGCACCTCTGCACTTTTGCCGTAGATGAACCAAGGAGTAGAAAAATAGGGAAAATAATGAAGGTTTAGCAGGTATGAAAATATATAAGCAAAATTCAACATCCACTCCTAAAATAAAAGCTCCAGTCATAAGTAGTTCCATCCGTCCTACGAAATCTTCAATGGATCATCGAAGTCATCCAAATAAAGATCGACCTAGTGTGTGGTGTGCACAATCGTGCTGTGCGCTTGTGGAACACTATCAGCGAGAGTGGAAGATATCTGGAAGATATCTATCCATCCTGGAGGAGTCTTGCCTAAAGCAATCCACCGTGTCCGCTACCTAATGTCGTTAATTTATGATATCAAGCCAAGCCTTGTGATGGATGGGTAACAGAGCAGAAATAGAGCAGAAGCCAATATTCCGAGTGATAATTCGGATTTCGGATAAGGATTTCAGGAGAAAAAGTTATTTCTATTATAAGAAAAATATAAAGCTGTTAAATAGCGCACAGTGGCTCTTGAAGGGATTTTTTCATTTTGAGTTAAAGATCAATTTTTGATTTTTCGGTAAATGTTTGGAAAAGGAAGAGTGATCGGTGCCGTGGTGTGCCTAAGGGATGCGGTGTGGGGAGGAGGAGGGGGGGGGGGAAGAAATTGGAAAGGAGTGGAGGATGGAGTGAGGGAATTACAATGAGCAGTTAACAAAAGGGGGAAGGAAGTTAAAAAGATGGTAAATGTTCCATTTTTACTTATTTGCTTACCTTTGCTACATCAAACACTGTCTTTACTTTTGTCTTTACTAATTATTAAGGTATGGCAATTTTCGGCATTGATTAGAGATGAAAATTTTGGGGTCCTCAGGATTTATTCTTCTCAAAAAGCTATGAAAGAACCTCTCAGTTTCAGAGGCAGCTTCGTCTGTTCTTGCATTTCATTTATTTTTTGTGGTTAATCAAAACTGCTGAATAGCTGGAAGGTCGGAGTTCGAAATTTCGCTGGCATCTAAATCTTTTTTCTTTTTTATTATCTTAAACTACCGCTATATTCTCTCGTATTATTCTTATAATAAGAATAGAGCTATATTTCAGCCATGGAAATTCTTTGGTTTGATAGGTCCGACGATGGTTCTGTTGATTCGAAGATTATTTTAAATTACTTGGCGTAATAAACCATTTATTATATATTATATTATTTATTATATATTATTATACATTATTAATTTTAATATTTGCACTTGTATTTTAATATTGGTTTTTTTCTTTTGACGAGAAGTTTATTTGTAGCTCGTTTGTGTTTATTTTCTACTGCTTTTTTTTATAAATAGGAATAATTTCCAAATTTTTTTATGCAATATGTTAAAATAATTGGAAATTTACATATTTATAAAAAATAGGGAAATAGTAAAATAAATTCACAAATCATTGGCAATTTAAATATAAATATAATCTCAAAAAGTAGCATTCTTATCGGCAAAATTACGAAAAATTTTTTACTTGAATTTTATTAATATTAATAATATTAAATTTTGTTCAGCATTATTTGAAAAGTGAAATAAAATGCCTGCGATAGCAGTCGATGTTAATGAGCCGATTACTGGTGAAAAAACTGCAAAAGTTCGCAATTTCAACACAAATCCTCGTTTATGCAAGTTTTACGTTTTTGCTTATATTTATTTATTTCATTTTCTAATAATTTCTGATTTGTCTGGCGTCATTGTCTGCAAGGATTAAACCCAGACGGTATCATTTAAAAATAGAGATAATTATTCAGCAACATTCATGCTTCAGATAGATTTGCTTCTATCCAGGAAGAGAACAAGGATCCAGCTAAATTACTATTCTTATTATTGTTATTTTATTTCACTATTCTTACCAAAGCATACTGCGCAGCTGAAGTTGAATATATCGAAACCATCAGTCGTTCCTATTAATTTTTCAATCTTTTTTAGCTTATAAAACGGTGACTGGTGTCAACGGTCCTTTGGTGATTCTTGGTGATGTTAAATTTCCTCAATATGCCGAAATTGTTCATTTGACTCTTCCGGATGGAACGAAAAGATCAGGTCAAGTACTTGAAATAACACGCAATAAGGCTGTTGTACAGGTTTATTTTTTTATTTATTTTTTATTGGTTTGTGCTCGTCTCGTTCTTACCATATCGGCATATACTGATTTATATCATACACATATCATACTTCATTCCAAAAATTTTCTCAATAAATATTTAAGGTATTCGAAGGAACTTCTGGTATTGATGCCAAAAATACAATATGTGAATTTACGGGCGATATTTTGCGAACTCCAGTCTCGGAGGACATGTTAGGGCGCATTTTCAATGGCTCTGGCAAACCAATCGATAAGGTGATTATCCATCTATCAATGTGAAGGCAAAATTGATGTTCTCAGTTTTAAGTTAATTTTAATTTCTGCAATAAAAGTAATTTTTCATTTTTTCCTCTTCATTTTTTAATTAATTTAGGGGCCACCAGTGTTGGCAGAGGATTTCTTGGATATCACAGGACAACCTATTAATCCATATTCTCGTATTTATCCGGAGGAAATGATTCAAACTGGGATTTCTGCAATTGATGTTATGAATTCGATTGCTCGAGGGCAGAAAATTCCGATCTTTTCAGCAGCTGGTTTACCACATAATGAAGTACAATTTTTCCCTATATCACCAAAATATTTTATCACCATATTTTTTTTTAAATTTTTAATCTATTTTTATTCTATTTTTTGTCTATAGAAAATAAACAATTTCTCAGTTCATTTTTCTATGTTCCAATTTTTCAATCTCACAGAATCACTTGGACATAAATACAGTTGGGTACCAAATACTATCTAGGTTCCTTCTTTGATAAGATTTAATCTACGGGCAGAAAGAGAAAAAGGGATCTTTTTGAAATTTAAACATCTAAACATCTTAAAGTATATGCAGTAGTTGATTATTTGAGATTGCTGCACAAATCGTACGACAAGGTGGGCTTGTCTCATTACCAGATCGACCACATGGAGAACAAGATAATTTTGCTATTGTTTTTGCTGCTATGGGAGTCAATATGGAAACTGCCCGTTTTTTCAAGCAAGACTTCGAAGAAAATGGCTCCATGGAGAATGTTTGCCTGTTCTTGAATCTGGCAAATGATCCAACGTAAATTTTTTTAAAATACATGTTTGTATCTGTGAAAATAAAATATGTATAGAATAGTATATAAAGATAAAGTATAGAATAAAGTATAATTTATAGAAACATTTATTTCTTCAGTGACTATATTTTAGTATTGAACGTATTATCACACCTCGACTAGCCCTTACAGCGGCAGAATTTTTGGCTTATCAATGCGAAAAACATGTGTTGGTTGTTTTAACAGATATGTCTTCATATGCTGAAGCGCTTCGAGAAGTACTTTTTATTAATTTTTTTGCAATGACGTTTTTCACTTTTGAGGTTTTGAGATATTTTTGTTATTTTATTTTATTTTTTGTTATTTTGTTATCTTAAGCTATTTTATGATTTCATTTTTGAATTTGGATGAGAATTAATTCAAAAAATATTAATAATGATTTGCCTATGTTTCAGGTTTCAGCGGCTCGTGAGGAGGTACCTGGGCGACGTGGTTTTCCAGGTTACATGTATACTGACTTGGCAACAATTTATGAGCGAGCGGGACGAGTTGAGGGTCGCGTTGGATCAATTACTCAGATTCCTATTTTATCTATGCCAAACGATGGTCGGTTTTGGCATTGGTCATTTCAAAGTAGAAAAACTTAAATATGGTTCAAAATTTTGCTAGGTGTTTAATAAGAAATTTATCAGTAACCGTTAAGTTTAGAACTTTGGGTAGAAATTTAAATTTAATTTTAAAAAACTTTAATGTTTAGATATTACTCATCCTATTCCGGATTTAACTGGTTATATTACGGAAGGTCAGATTTATGTTGATCGGCAACTTCATAATCGACAGATCTATCCACCTATAAATGTACTTCCATCTCTATCGCGTTTAATGAAATCAGCAATCGGTAAGGGAATGACGCGAGAAGATCATGCAGATGTGTCTAATCAACTTTATGCATGTTATGCCATTGGAAAGGATGTTCAAGCAATGAAGGCTGTCGTTGGTGAAGAAGCGCTTTCGTCAGAAGATATTCAATATTTAGAATTTCTTACGAAATTCGAGAAAACATTTATTTCTCAAGGTTTGCAATTTCTGATTTGCAATTTTAAACAAATTTTTATGAATATCTTCTTTTTCCCCTTATTTTTAGTATATTCCTATTTGTAGGCAATTATGAAAATCGAACGGTTTTCGAGTCATTGGATATCGGTTGGCAGCTTCTACGAATTTTCCCTCGTGAAATGCTGAAGCGAATACCAGATTCTATTTTCGAAAGATTCCATCCGAAAGTTAAGAAAGCAAAAGAAAGTGAAAAAGTTGTTAACTGAATCATTGAAATTGTTGTAATAAATTTAGCCAATTTTCTTGTAGTAATTTATAGTTTTATAAATTCACTTAATGTATTGGTTGTGCTATTGCACTGTTTTGGTAATTTGTATTGATATTTTCATTTTCTTCATAATGTATTTAATTTATATATGTGGTAGCTTGTTTCAACTAATATTGGTGCAGTGGGCAATCCATCAAGTATTTGAGTCACGGATTTGAAGCTTTTCTTTAAGTCTTATGGTAGTCATTTTCTCTGACTTGAGCTCAATTGTTATTTTTATTCAGATTTAAAATATTATTTAAAGAATATAACAAAGAGAGGGGCTATTATATTTTCTTTTGGTATAGTGATACGCTTGTAACGGCAAGGTCTTGGCCATGGTTTGCCTTTAAGGAAATTATTTTGTTATATGAATCTTGTAGGTTTTCTTTTTTTCTCAATTTCTTCTGACTGATAAGTTAGAGAGAGGAAAATTCTTTTTTTTTATTTCAGTGTTATCAATTCCAATTTGAGATTTACCGATGTTTCAGATGGTCAGAGCATCTAATGTTGTTTATTTTATTTTTAAAATGATCTTTATTTAATAATAAATATTGCAATGTACACATACTGGCATCACAAAATTTAAATACGGTGCTGGATATACTAATACTAGGCTACCACGTAAATATTTCACACTGTTTTACTATTTTTATTCGAACTTATTATTTATATTGTCTACCCACTGTGCTGCAGTGATTATTGGTTTCATTAATATTTTATAAATATACTTTGATTTCCTAAATCTTCTCCAAGAAATTTATACTCAAAAATATTATAATATCGCAAATATTGAGTAAAAAAAGTAAGAAGTTGAATAAGAAAGAGAGAATTTTATGTTTGTTATTTGCTTTAGCATATTTATTGTAATATATTTATAAAGGTAAGATGCTTGCGACTCACTTATATTTCTATCGCTAAGGGGTTCTCTGGCATATTTGTCCAATGCGAGAAGCCAGTGGGGCGAGTTTAACCAGTAATGGTGAAAGCTCTTTAAAAAGAACTTCGCTTAAAATAACTTCGCTTAGGTAATTTTAGCACGAATTCTTGAATTCTTCGCAAAATTTGCGTTCAGTAAGCGGTTCTTCTCAGCACTGATTTTTATCAGTATTACGTCCCTCGCGATAACATCATGACGCCTTATCGTAGATTCGAACATGCTACATGCGAATTACGTCCTATCGTTTAAAACACTAAGCCATTCAAACCCACATAGTGCAGCAGTTATTATCCTTAAGGCATAAAAAAGCGATAATAAAAATTAAACCTTGGAAAACATGGAACGATTCAAATTATTCCAAAATATAACTTTATAGCCACAAATACAACTTTGAATTTTTTCTATTATTAGAAAAATTTTATCAGTAAAATAAAAAGTGGACTTGTAAGGAAATCGATTTTATTGATGTTACTAAAACAAGTTTTAAAGTTTGAAAAACTATTCAAGAAATTCAAATCAGTGATAATCAGATCAGTGATAATCATATAAATGTTGCGCTATTTCTTCACACTTCAAATAAAAAAAGATGCCTTTATAAATTAAATCTGAATGGTTGATTTTTTTCGCTTAAAAAATTGCTAATGGAATGGAAATGAAATTGGGCTCATCTAACCATCGTAATTTTTTCTCAAATGAATCTCTTGCAAAATGCTTTCTTTCTCCATCGTCTATAATTTGATTATCAGAATTAATAATTCGCAGTACTTTATCCACTTGGGAGAGAGTTGGCTGAGTGGGTTGTTGTTCAATTCGGAGCGCTTATACTATTGTTCGATTCCACGCAGGATTAAACCTATACAAAAATCCGGCTGGTGCTGGCGACTCGCCTCTATTTCTATCTCGCCAAGAGTCTCCCTGGTATATTTGCCCAATGCGACAAGTCGGCAGAGCGAATTGAACCAGTAATGGTGAGGATTCTGAAAAAAAAAAAAACGAATTTTCTCCATTAATTAAAATGCCAATTTCGATTTGTTTTTCAGTTGAAGTAATTCGCAAAAAAAAACTGCCAAATTTGGCTTTTTAAAAACTTCTAAAATTTCATTTCAATTTACGAAATTCATTTGTAAATCGTCCGTCTTAAAAATTTTATTTTCAATATAAAATATGATAAGCAAAGGACGATTTATTTTTCTATTTTATTTTACAATTGTTTCTTCGCTTAAAATTGGTATAAATTTTTAATTGAATTTTTATCAAATTCTATCAAATCTTTTGATGTGAAACTGATAACGGTTTTTGATAATTTGATAATGGCGATATTTCTGAGAAAATTCAATCTGTTAATTTTGCTAACCAAAAATTCTCTTTCTCAACGAAATTTTAAAATTCTTTTATCCTTTATCAACTGCCACATATAATGTTATAGACTTTCATTTTGTATTTATGTTTTAAAAAATTCATTTTAAGGTGCAATTTTCTCAGAGAATGAGGACCACTATGCAGCTGCAGCATTTCAAGCTGCACTTCGTTTTATTAATCTCAAATTTTTCGCAAAAAATTGTACTATCGTACAAGCCAGTATAATATTCGTAAATTCCTCGGAACCATATTTTTTATCATTAAAGTGTTTGTTTGTTGGAATGATTTTTAAAATTGATAACAATTATATTAATATTAATAATAATAATGATAACATCAATAATAATAATAGCGATAAAATATTAGTTAATAATAGTGGTAATAATAATAAATAATAAATAGTAATAATAAATTCGGGTGGTGCCACCTGTATTTTTATTGCCAAGGAACATTTGTCTAGTACGATAAGCCAGCGGAACGAGTCTATCAGTAATGATAATGAGAATCAATAATGATGAGGGCTCTTAAAAAACTAAAAAACATATAGTAAATATAGTAAATAGTAATAATAATGAATATATAATATAATAATAATAAATATTATAAATATGATAAAAATAGTAATAAAATTTATGAGAATTAAATTAGATATATGCAAATTTTGTGTTTCTTGGAAAAAAAAAATTTTCTTAAATATTTCAGTGGAAGAATTAGCGAAAGCTGGCATAACAATTTTAGTTGGTCCTCCAAATGTGGAAATTTCCAATATTCTCGATGCGTTAAGCGTCGATTATGGAATAACATTTCTCAGCTATTTTTGGGAATCAAATCCGTGTGGTTATCATAGAAATGGCTATAATTTATTTCCAACTCAACAATATTATAAAGCACTTTTTCGAGTGCTCGATTATTGGCAGTGGGAACGAACTGTGATTGTTATCGAAAAATCTAATAGTAGTTTATCAAATTTTATCAAATTTCACTAATCATATCAAAAAATCACATCAAATTAACTAATTAAATATATAAATTTTAATATTTGAGACTTTGCTCATAATTCATTATCAGTTTTATCAGATCAATCTTAGTCTTATGCATTAATGAATGCCCATAGAAATGAGTTCTCTTTTCGAAGTTCCAGCAGGAGATGAATTATCGTTCTCATAGTACTGGCGACTGCTGTCCTATCCTTTATTATCAGATGTCTCGCTAGAAAGATTTGCCTATTCCAATAAACTATTAGAGTGAATCTAATAAGAAATGATAAAATGCTCTTAGTTTTAGTTTCTTTTTGGTACTAAACTATATCTATTAAAAAAAATCTTTTCAGCTTTCTGTCGTTATAAAGATTTTATTGAAAAGTCTAATAAACAAGTAATTTTATTGGAAATCGATGATGATTCTCATCATGGATTTCTAAGAGCGGGGAAATTAATTCGAGTAATTTGTGATCAAACGAACTGTTGGAGAAATTCAAATCGTCTATTAGTCGATTTATCGCCAAAAAATACGTATAAATTTTTGCGTACTGCACTTATGCTTGGAATGATTAATTTACGAAATTGGTACTTAATAACCTCACTCGTAAGTTGAAATAGTTTTCATTTTGCTTATTTTTTTATTCGATGAAAAAAATAATAAAATAGGAGTTGTGTTTCAACTTTTTTTTTCATATATAATTTGTTATAATATTTTTCATTTTCTCATTCTTTTTTTTTTTCACACAGCGCTATTCCTATTTTTCCTCGTTTGACTAAGTACCACAATGATAGTAATGGCATAAAAAGCATCACTTGATGGCAGAAATATGAATGGATCTCATCCTAGCTCTATTTTTAATAGCAAATTTGGTTCCATAAGATATGCTAAAATCTATATCATCATGGTTTCTTTATTATGAATCGCAGATATTTAGCAAAAAAACAATTCGGCATCTAATTTTTTTTTTTTTGTTTAAAAAAATAGTACAAAAAGTTGGATATGAAATTAATTGGATTTATTTAGGACAAATGGAGTAGTGAAATGGAACCTTATTCATATAATATGATGCGTATTGGTATTTTGACGATTTGGAACGAAGAATATGTTTTAAAAAAGTTGTCAAATATTCAGGAATATTATACGCAATTTATTAGCCAATGGCGTTTATTTGAATCACACCAAAATCAACCATTACCCTATGTACCTTCTTTTATATATAAATTTTTTTTTTTTTAAAAATAGCCCTCACTATTACTGGTTAAACTCGCTCCTCTGGCTTGTGTCACAAATATGCTAGGGAGTCCTTTGACGTGTAAATGCAAATGAATCGCTAATATGACTCGCATTTTTGGACAAGTTTACTCTTGCGGGAAATAGAACCTCAATATCGGCACTTCGAATTGAGCGACAACCGATTGAGCCATTTATATATGTAAATAAAAGATATTCCTATGCCTGTCGCCCTAATAGTTGCAATTAATAGATATGAAATGATTGATGAATGCAATCATGAACAAGAAGATATTCGGTGAGAATGATTAATGGGATAAGTACTTGTCAAGCTAATAATTATATTAATGGATTGTAACTCTTTTGGTTTAGCAAAGTTAAATTTAATATTCAATAAATTATTCTATTCTACAATTTTTCGTTATTTTTGCAAGGATTCACGAGAATTCATGCAAACAGACAACATTTCCTTATATTGATATTTCCTGCTACATTGACTGGATATAATAAATTAGTGATAGAAGTGTAGAGGATTTATATTAAAAAAACTTTCATTCTCACTCCTTATAAATGATATTGGTTATACTCAACCTCTATCAGGCACCTGGGATATCTCAAAGATAAGGCAGATAAGCTTTTTCCTCAAATGATAATATCAGTATTAGCACTTCATTCCCTAATTAAGTTAAATCAATCATATTAAGTTGACCGAATTGCTTTCTTCGAGAGAAGGAAATAGTGGCTCTAAAAAATTGTTCCCAGTGTAATCAAAAACGCTTTCCTATTTCCTCTTATATTTCCTCTTTTCACTTTTTGCTAAAATCGTTTATTTATAAATTACTCCAGAAAGCTTTGAATTTAGTTGGGAAAGATTGGTAAAGTAAAATTATTTTAAGAAATTAGATATTAGAATATAAAATTCGAAAATACAGTGTAAAAAAAATTCAAGTTTAAATTTATTTAATATTTAATCTTTAATACATAATATTTAATATATTTAATATTTATTTAATATTGATGATAATATTTTATCAGTTCAAAATTGATAAAAATCCACTTAGGAATTACGAATCAAATTCATAATAATGAAAATATTTCAGCGACATTTTGCTCTCATTTTCGATGCGATATTATTTGCATGCAATACTGAACCAAATTTGAAGAAAATAATGAAAATTGGTGCAAAACGAGAACAAAAAATAATAAATCAGATGAACACAACTTTTAATGTGAATCTGATATGATTTATAAATTTCATTCATTCATTCATTCAAAGTTTTTATATTTTAAAGAAATTTAAGAGATTTTCCAGAATACTATCAATGGTCTATCTGGTCCAATTTTTTATGATCAACTGAAGCAACGAATTAGTTCAAAAATATTTCTTTGGGAAATTGGTATTGATGGTGCTTTTGTTAATGTAATGTTTATTTATTATTCATTATTATTTTTCGTTTTTTGTTTTAGTTAACCAAATTATTGGCAAATGGTGAAAGTAAAGGACTATTCTTCTAGATTAGCTCGTTTCCACTTTTGCTTGCAGTTATCGCCGCAGGGCTCCGTCATAATCTGTACTTTCATTTCATTAGCTCTTCTCCAGGACTTTTTTTTTTTTCTGAGTTTTTTGTGGGCATCTTCGTCTTAATTACTTGCAGTAAGCAACCGATTTATTTTATGAATCCTTTTATTGAATCGATTCTTTGTTGATTTTCAATAACTGATAATCATTAATATGACAAATTATCAGTTTCAAATACTGACTCCCTAATAATTTTTTCTTCGTCATTTGATGGCGTTGCCGAAAAAGACATAGAGCTAGGGAAAAGCATTCAGACTAGAACAATCAGGAACAAGTGGGTTATGGATAAGAATTAATTGGGAGTACCATGCTTTTGCGGTTTTTTGACATTATCTTATGAAATATGAAATATGGAATATGAAATTTTAAATATCAGCCAAGCAAGGCGACAACGCCATATGGTTGTATTAATAACAACAGTTAAAATAATAAATAATAAAAATTCTTAATAAGAAAAAAAACATTTAGACAGGCGTATGGCAAAGTAATAATAATGGTGATGGCAATTTATCAGTTTGGGATAATGAAATACCGAATACTCACGCTCGAGTTATGAATGAACGAAAAAAAGTTTATTTTTACAGAATTTCGCGTATTTTTTCATTTTTTTCTCTCTTTTTTACTATTTGTTTTATCATAGAAAAATTCACAAAAAAAATTTTTTAGAATTTAGAAGAATTTAGCTATTTTTCAGCAGCGTTTTTTAACTGTAACTTCCATAGAAGAGCGACCATATTTAATGCAAAAAACGTTGCCTAATGGACGAATAATTTTTGAAGGATTTTGCGTTGATCTACTCGATAAGCTTGCTGAAAATTTAGATTTTGAATATAAAATAAATATAGTAAAAGATGGAAAATATGGTGAACAAATCAATGGAACTGATAAATGGAATGGAATGATTGGCGAAATACTTAGCGGGGTTAATCGTTTTCTTTTATAAACGCTTTTCTAAACAAATCTCGTGCAAATAAATTATTTTAATAAAAAAAAAATGGGCCTAAAAAGTCTAATGATTACTTATATGGCTTAGCGAATTGTTGGCTGTCTTTTTAGAAGGCCTATTTTGCGATTCTATTCTCGGTAAGAGTGAACCCTCTCTTTTAGAAATCCGAGTGGCATTTGGTGTATTTTTATTTCCATAAAATTTCTTAGTTGGCTCTGATAAGTCAACGGAGTAATTCATAAAATAAAAAATTAAACAAATGAAAAAAGGTTGAAATAATTCTCAAGCTGATAAAATTGTTAAGAAAATTGAATTGTAAAATATAAAATTAATGTTTTCAGCCTATAAGACTGGTTAAGAGAATTTCATTATTTACCCCAACTTTTTATTATGCGCTCTTTTAAAATAAATTGTTTTGATAAGAACTTGATAAGACTTTCTTAAAGAACACATTGTCCTAGAAGAAATTGCTAAAGAATGATAATACTCTTAAAAGATGAAAAGACCATATTTCTCATTTAAATCTTCCTACTTGTCAAAAATATTTTTTATTTAGCGAGTAAATGGTTAGCACCCTCTTCGATAATTCCATTAGTTATTCAACTAGAAATCAAGCTAGAAATTCGCCATAAAAATACAAATGTGTCCTCTAGCATGTCAACCTGATTTCTTAATGGAAGTTCCATTCATACAAGTGCCAAAAAATCGAATCTCGATCGAAGCAAAACAACTTGTTCTATGCACAAATGATAAAATATAAAATATATATAAAAATTGAAAATTTGAAAAAAAATGTTAACTTGCAGAAGGCTGACATGGTTGTAGCACCTATTACGGTTACCGCAGGGCGACTTGAAGTTGTCGATTTCACTGATCCGTTTTTGCAACTCGGAATTTCAATGCTAATGCGTCAACCTAATCGAACAACTTCATCTTCATTAACATCATTCTTATGGCCGCTTAGTGGTTCGGTTTGGATGTATTCAGTTTTTGCTATAATCGGCACAGCATTATCTGTTATATTAATTTCATTATTGAGTCCTTCAGAATCAGCGCATGAATTTGGCATTATGGTATTTATTTAAAAATTTTTCCCAATAAATTGGTATTTTTTGCATGTATTTATGCTAAATCCCTCAGGCTATCTTTAATATAATTCTAAAAGCGTTTATAATAATTGTGGTCGTTTATAATAAAATAAACAAAGAATAGAATGGTTCAGTGGATTGTTGTTCAATTTTATTCCCGTAAATTCTATTCTATTCAAGAGTAAACCTGTCCAAAAATCTGGGTGATGCTGATGGCTGACCTGTATTTCTATCACCAAACAACTCCCTAGCATATTTGTTTAGTGCGATTAGCCAGTGAGGCGAGTTTAACCAGTAATGGTGAGGACTCTTAAAAAAAAATAAAATAAAATGCTATGCTTCCCGATTTCACTTCCCATATCCTTGAAAATTGTTCCCGTTTTATTCCCTCCTTTCCTCACCTTTGCATCAAAATCCATTATGCTCATTTAGTTGTAGTTCTAAACCTTGTTATACCTTCTTAATATACCAATTTGACCCAAACAATCTAACTCAGAAATTGCAATACTTTTTTTGGAATCTACTCACACACCACTATGTGTGGTATCCTGCAGTCCTTTCAATATTTATTTCTTATTGTCCTTATAGTCCCATTTCCTCATACATTTTAGTATCTCCTAAAACTCCTGAAGCTGTACTATTATTCACTTTCCCGCTTTACTATAACAAACTTTGATATATATTTGATATTTGATATGCTCAATTCTCAATTATTCCCCTCCTTTATTTCGTTATATTTATTTAAATTTAAATTATTAAATATTTAAATTATTGTTATTCAAATTATTTGGCCCAAATTACTAAATTTGAAAAAAATGCTATTCCCCAAAGGATAAGCCTTTTTGATACTTTCAGTAATTATAATAGCGTAATGATATGATAACTCTAAGGTGATTTATTCCAATAATTAATGCTTTTAATTAAGTTTCAAAATTAGCATAAAAGTTATATAATTATATATAGAAAGTTATATAAATAAAAACCTTATTTTGCTAAATTCTTCTAAATCTTTTTTTTAGTGAATTATTCATTTAAATAAATTCCATTTTTAAAATTTGTTAAATTATTGGACATAATAGCATAAAATAAATTTGGATTATATTCGATTAGATAAATCTTCGATTATTCGATGGATTATTAGTGTAAAATTTAGATTATTGGACATAATAGCATAAAATAAATTTGGATTATATTCGATTAGATAAATCTTCGATTATTCGATGGATTATTAGTGTAAAATTTAGAATAGCGCATGGTACTTAATTTGTATCTTATTGCGTGCTGGTTCGGGATATAATTGCCAATCGTTATCAAATAGGATTATCAGTGCTATTTGGTGGTCATTTACGTTAGTTCTTTTCGCTCAATATACAGCAAATTTTGCAGCTTTATTAACTGTTGAAAGAAAATCGATGCCATTGAATGTAAATTTTTTTAATATCATTATTAAATTTTAATTTTTAATTTTATATATTTCAGAAAAAAAAATTTTTTTTTATTTTTGAACAATGGCTTTATGTATGATGTTCAATCAGGAAATAGCTTTCAGCAATTTTTCATTTTGATTTTTTCGATTTCTATAAAATTTTAAAAATCATTCAAGTGAATATTTCTAAAAGATTTATTTAATCTTTTCTAAAAATAAAATATTTCAAATTATTTTTGCTAAATTTTACTTTTTTATTATTAAATTTTTTATTTTAGTTTGAATTTTTTATTTTATTTTATTTATTGTTATCAATTCAAATTATTATCAATTAACTGCTATTATTTTGTACTTTATCATTCTCTTATCATTTTGTTGAATGATTGTAGTCATTCGAAGAGTTGGGCAATCAAACAGAGTATGCGTTTGGCTCAATCTTAGGTGGATCAACGATGCAATTCTTTAAACAGTCTCGTCTTGAAATTTTTCAAAGAATTTGGAGTCGAATGGAAAGTACAACGCCATCCGTTTTTGTTCATTCCAATAATGAAGGCGTTGAAAGAGTATTAAATGAAAAGTTTAAATTTTATTAAATAGATTTTTCATTTTCTTTGAAATTTTTTATTTATTATCCTTTAATCCTTTATTTTGCAATTCACTATATTAATTCCAAATACAATCACGACTCAGTGCATTGTCGCTATCATTTCGAAAAATTTGTCTGAAGTAATCCTTAATAAACTCAAGTGATGCTGGAAAAAAGAATGGCTTCTATTAGTAGCAATAGCCTCGGACCAAGCAACTTGGGGACGATAGCCAGCGGAGCCTAACCAGTGATGGTGAGAGCAGTTAGAAGAAGAAGAAGATGCTGTCGATTCATATTTGCGCCAAATACGCCTGTGGCAAAAAATTTGCGATATATGCCAGCTGAGTAACCTAATCACAGATAGTAACGCTCTTGAAAGAAAAAAAAATGTCAGTCATCATAAAGTCAGTCAATGTTTTAGATATATATTTCTTATGGAATCCGCATCATTAGAATATCAGCTAACACAAAATTGCAATTTGACTCGAGTTGGCACGGTCGTTCTAGGTTCCAAAGGTTATAGTATTGCAGTTCGTAAAGGTTATTACGTTATAATTTTTGAAAATCATCATAATTTACATCATCAGAAAAGTAAATTTTAGATTTTATACTGAAGAGAAATAAATAATAAACCAGTTGTATTCATTAAAATAAGATTTTTCAATTAATTTTTGAACGATTTATCACCTATTATTATTATTTACATTATTTTATTTTTATTTAGACCAATTAAAAATTAAATCATAAAAAAACTTTGCAAGCATTAAGGATCGATTTGGCGTGAACGATTAACAAGGCAAATACTCGATTTTAATGAAAAGGGAATTATTTTGATGTTAAAATCAAATTGGTGGAATAACGCGCAAATGAAGTCAAATTTTGTTATTAGTTTCTTGATTTAATTTTATAGCCAATATGAATATTTACTAAAATGGTTAAATGGTACTTTATTTCAAAGTAAAAAATCCAATAAGTTCGATCAGTTGACTGAAGTAAATCTACTAAATTAAAAGTGAAATACGATTATGAAATGCCAAATATATGGGGGTAGAATGGCTCAGTGGGTTGTTGGTCAATTGGGAATGCCGATGCAGAGGTTCGATTCCCCGCAAGAGGAAGCCTGTAAAGGAGGAATAAAATCCTTTGGGTGATGTTGGCGACTCACCTGTATTTCTATTGCCAAGGGACTCCCTGGCTTATTGTCCAATGCGACAAGCCAGTGGAGCGAGTCTAACCAGTAATGGTGAGGAATTTTTAAAAAAAAAATATTAAATATTATCTTTATATATTTGCATTTATTTTCTATTCACAGTTGGTTCTCTCACCAAAGAATTTCACTTAATAGTCATATGAATTTTTTTCATAATCACAGCCATTTTTTTCGCTCAAAATTATAAATTACAATTATGTTTGAAGAAAGATTTTTCATGTTATATTATAAAAAAAAAAGCCAAATTTTTTTCATTAATATAAATTGGATCATTTAAATCGAAATGCCATTAGCAAATTGAATCGAAATATTATTCAATTCAATTTCAAACATTATCCAAAAAATTTGATTATATATTTTTTCTAATTAAATAAAAATTTCTTTTCAAATAGAAATAAATAAATATAAATAAGTAATTAAAATTGAATAAATAAGTATATTCATTTTATAAAAAAATTTTCGAAAGAATTTTTTTAGAAGCGTTTTTAAAAACGATTTCCAATTCGATTCACGATTGACCTTATCTTTACGTTTTATTTACCTTTCCGAAAATTTTCGGTTTTTCGATTTTCCAACTGCTTTTCCAGGATTTTGCATATTTAATATATTATATTCATGGCCTATCGTAGTAAAAATATTTATTACACAAGCAAAAAATTTCTTTTTAGATCATGCGATCAACAAACCGAAACTCAACGATCGCTCGATATTGAAAAAGTATGGGGATTGTTTGCATTGCTTGGCTTTGGCCTTCTTTGCGCGTTTATAATTGCGCTTTTTGAGAAATTTTTCTTCCTTATTCATAAGGATCGATCAAATCATAAATCGCAAAAAATTATTTTTTTGGGATCTTCATAAATTTATTTATTATTTTTAATATTTTATTTTATTTGCATTATTATATTATCTTATTATAATATTATATTTGTATTATTGTATTATTATATTTGTATTATAAAAAAATGAAATTTTTTCATTAACTCAAATGTCTTATTTTTAAATTGGAATTGGAATTCCATGAGCAAATTGAATCGAAATATTCAATTCAATCTCAAATATTACGCGAAAAAAATTTTTTTTTTTACATTGAATTTTTCTAATTCAATAAATAAATTTATTTCGTTTGAATAGAATAAAAATAAATAATAATTAAAATTGTATAAATAAATATATTCATTTTGCATATTTTCATACAATTTCATATTATTGAATGGTGCGAAAAATATTTTAAATAATTCATAAATTAGTATTTATAATCGATGGGGGTATTTTTGCAATTGAAATAGACGACAATTTTATAATATCTTTAATCGATCTAAAAAAAAAGGAAATGGTTGGAATATAACGGAAATTGGTGACATGTAAATAAATAGTTTTCGAATGAAAAGGCTTCTTATAATCGATTAGCGTACCAGGCGAGCCAAGTTTCCAAAACTGATTGTTTCTTCTAAAAATAAAAAATATTTCATATAAAATAGAAAAAATTTATTCTACCTTAAAGTTCATCGATCAGAATGCATGATTTTTTGAATCAACTTTTTAATCTAACCGTAATAATCCTCAAATTAATCATTACGGACCTCCTTAAGGCGAATAGCCAATATTCTCAAAAAATAGCTAGGAATCTAGGAAATCACACATTCGACTTACATATTCTTACTTATTTTAGTTTATTTGATTAGTAAAAATCTCTAACGATTATTTTATTTATTATATTCATTGAAAATTTTTAGGCGATAAAATTTTAATAATATTTTTAAAATTTTAATTTTAAAATAATTCACAAGGAGATCCATAGATTTTAGCGACATCCAGAAGATATATGGAATCTGTGGGAAAAAAAATTCGATGATCACACCACTAGTTTAACCACATTTGATTATCACCTGTTCTTCATTGAAAAATAAGATGTTTTTTTTCGACAGCGTGATGAATGAAAAAAATACTTACATACAGTAAAGCACTCGCTTTTTTCTGTTCCATATCAATTAATGAAATCATTTATGGATAATATAGCCGAATGGTTTATTGTTTATTGTTATCATTTCAAATGTCATAATTCACAGCTGCCTATCCTAAACTGGAGAAACTGAACTTATTTTTAAAAAAATTTTAAAAGACTGATAAGTGACGAGTGAGGGGATTTATATTATCATTTTCATTCCTCTCGTTGAAATACTAAATATTATTAAAATATTAAAATACTAAAAAAATATTGAAAAAACTCATCTTAATATAACCAATGAAAATAGCCTAATGAATTTCCAAGAAAACACAAATATTATTAAAACTAATATTATTTTTTTTCCAAGAAACTATAAAAATAAAAAAAAACCAATGGAAACAATTAAATTAAATTAGTTAGATTTTAAATATTTGAATTCAAATTTTATTATAAAGTGTCATTTAAATTATTTATATATTTATATATAAGCAAAGAATTTCCGCTAATTTTCAAGTAAATCGAACCAATTTAGAGAAATTCTAAAATGGATTGGATCAACGATTTATGCAAGAGTAGAAATCATTTATAAGATGTTGAAGCGTTGCTATGGATGCAAGAAGATTATCAACTAAATGGTGATGGTAAGCCAAAATAAATTCACTAACGATGGTGGCCTATATTTAAAAGAGAAAAAAAATGACCCAATTGGCTATTATTTTTTTCAAAGTTTAGTAAATATTTAATAAAACTTTGAAAAAAAAAAAAAAGCTTAAATAAATATTATCTCATGCAACGCTCACTATGCATATATAATATGCCCTATTCATTCAATGACTATGACTTATTTCTTGTATATATATTATATTCTAGTATTTCTGGATTATATATGTTCAATCGGAAAATGAGGAGGCCATTTAAATTTTTGGAATTAACAATATTACTTTTATTATATTTGAATTTTGCTAATTTATACGCTCAGGATTGCTCAAGTAAATAAAAATTTTTTTTCAATGATTTTTATTTTTTGAATTTTTTAATTTTTCTAAAATATATTCGAATTATTTTTTTTTCTTTTAAATTATATATTTAAATTAATTAAATATGTTTAGATGAATCTCTAACGAAAGAATTGTAAGAAAAAGAATAGGAAGCGCGGTTAGGTTAGGTTGAAGCAAAAAATGATAATTGATAAACCGAAAAATAATTTTTATGAAAATTTTCTATTTATGAAACGTGAAAAAAGACGAATTATTTCAGCATTGCCAGTGCTTCTTAGAGCGCAAGAACAGCCTCAATCTTTTTATACGAAAGGATATGATAAGGGACAATATCCGAATGATCTTAACTGTAGTTGGATTCTAAAAGCGAGAACACCACAGCAACGAATCGTTCTAACAATTCACGATTCGAAACTTGATGATGCATTATTTACACAATGTGAAGACTATTTGTCTGTTCGAGACGGTTAGTAAGCATTCAACATCATTTTTCTTTTTTTTTTTTATTGTTTTATCATTATCACAAAAGACTTATCATCTAATCAATTCATTTATCTATAATTGAAATTTTAATATTGTTATATAAATAAATGCGAAAAAAAATTTTCATGCAAAAAAATTTTGGATACAAGTCTTGCCAATAGGCATGAGGATTCAATTATGGATAATTTTCTCGCATGATCCAGATTTAGCTTCTACTTAGGCTTATTCCTATCAAGGTGCATAGTTCGAACTACGGTGAACTAATTTTGTGTTATTGCTATGTAGTAAAATGTAGTAAAATTCTTGAACACTTATAAACTTATCTCATTTGTCAATATTTGTGGCAAACACTTACACTTTACTTATTACTTATTTCAAAAAGCCAATGTTTCTCGAGTTTTTCACAATAGGGACTCTCAAAAATTATTGAATTTTTTTTTTTTTTTTTAATATACTTTATACCTTTTAATATTCATCTTATCAAGATTGCAAAATTTTTAAATGTGTTTTTGTGTAATTGATTTTTAAATATTACTATTGAAATATTGCTTCTTTAAGGCATTCTGAGAAGACCTCAAGGATATCTCGGGGATCCAGAGGATCCATAGGCTCCATTTAGAGAATAATTCCCCCTAAACATTTCAATAATGAAAACTGAAACACCACATATTATCTTTATTATTATCATTTTGTTAAAATTTTTCTAAAACAAACTGATAAAATTCAACTTAAAAAACGAGTGAAACGAAAGAAAGAGAATATGCGAAGAATTATTTTAGAATTTTCTCTTCAAAAATATTGAGAAAATATTCAATTCTGAATATCTGAAACAAATTTTAGGTGAAATTTATGCAGCGACCGAAATTGTTAAATGGTGTGGTGATAATTATCCACAGTCAATAATTAGTACAAATGATGCCTTATATTTAGTTTTCTATTCGAATAATCAATTCAGTGAACGAGGTGCAAAATTCTCATTCGTAGATTTTGGTACCTATTTTTTTTTCTTATTTTATCAATAAAATCATAAATCATTTGATAAATGTCGCATTTCATTATTTAAATTATCACAAATAAATTTAAATAATTTATTTTAAATTAATTTTAATTTAATTTAATTTAATTTAATTTTAATTTTAAATTTATAAATTTAAAATATAGTTTTTTTTTTAGTGAAACCAATTGGCCCTAAAAGAAAAAATAATTAACGCTAACCATTTAATTTATTTATTTATCAACTATAATTATGTTGAAAAAAAAATAAAGAAAATAAATATAAACAAATTAAATATGATTTATAAATTATAATTCATCTAAAATTGTTGTTTTTAAATTATTATTATTTAAAATTATTATTTTTTATTTTACTTACTTACCTATTACTTAAAGATTTTTGTTGCGAATCTACTAAGTATAAAAATTGTTTATTGAGGCAATTTATCGAAGTTGATTGCATAAATAAATCGAAACGAATAATTTTTAAAAACTCTTAAAAGTTTTTTTTCTCGCTTTCCTACGAATAAATTTTAATTCGGTATGGAAATAATAAAAAAAAAAGAAAAATATTTTAAAAATATTTAAATATTTTAGATGAAAGACTTATAAGACATAAGAGGAAATAATAACCATAAAGATGAAAAGAAAGAAATATATAATAGGATTTGAGGCAAGGAAATGAAAAATTTGGGGGCCTTAATGGAGGGGAGAGAATTGCAAGAGTGGTAGCTTAATGGGGATTGCAATAAAACAGCATAACTAAACATTGTGTTAAGCAAAGATATGGTAGATTTTTTTTTTTTTTGAGAATCCTCACCATTACTGGTTAAACTCGTTCCGAAACTATGGACAAATATGCCAAGGAGTTCCTTGGCGATAGATAATACAGATGAGTTCGCCTGCCATCACCCTTATTTTTGGACAAGTTTATTCCTAGGGGGAATAGAACCTTAGTATTGGCGCTTCGAATTGAAATAGCAAGCCATCCTATCTCTAGGCCGATATTTTAGAAGTTGAATTTATTTTTTTCTGATCCACAAAATTATGCACACGGTCATTTACTTATATAAATAAATCGAAACGAATAATTTTTAAAAATTTATTTTAATAATAATAATTTATAATTTTAATAATAATTTTAATTTTTACACCTACGTAAAATTCTAATTATTAAAATATTGCCTAAAGCAAATTACTAAGCAAATTATTTTTTTGAGCAATTAGCTTAATATCTTAAAGTCTATATTTTTTGTTTCATATTTTATTTATTTCATTTATGGTTAAATTATTGCAAAACTGATAACATATCATAGATAACTCCACAAATAAAGCTTTTCTTAATTATCAAAAATAATATAAAAAATAATAAGTAAATAAAATAAAATAAAATAAAACAAAATAAATATAAATAATATAAAATATATAAATCCATATTAAGTATTATTCTTCTTCCTAAAATCATTATTATTTAGAAATACCTGGTTGCCCACCAAATTGGATAACTGATTCAGTTAGCAATTTTTGCTATTTAATAAGCGATTCACCAACACATCATGCGACATGGATTGATGCTCAAAAATATTGCGTTTTACAGCGAAGCAATTTGTTATCATTTTCATCGATAGAAGAATATCAAGATTTTACCGGTTGATTTTTTTTTATCGAAAATTTTTACGAAAAGAAAACCTTCTAATTAAAAATATTTTCTTTTAAAAATTTAGGCAAATTTTTTTAAAAATTTCATAATTTTTTTGTAGCGAAATTTTCAAGTGTTGAAATTTCTGCTTGGATTGGCTACAGCGATACTATTAACGAAGGGAATTTTTTCGCTGTCGATCAAAATGAAAAACTAAATCCACAATCGTTAATTTTATTTAATTCATTTTAAATTTCTTAATTATTATTTTTATTTGGAAAAAAAACTATATTTATATAAAATATAGTTTTTTATTCTTATAATATATTATAAATTATTGTTTTTTTTTATATTTTCCCTTAAAAAAAATTGAAAATTGGATTTTTTTTTATTTTATAGATTAAAGATATGCAAATGCATAAATAAAAATATTTCTATTAAATAAAAGTTAAAAATTAAAAATTACCCACTAAAAGAAGAATTTGTTTGTTTGAATTTATATCGGTTTGTTTTCATGAAAATTTCTGGAAAAAAAATTAAAATATGCAATAAAAACAATGAAGTAATGGAAAATATTTTTGGGAAACATACACTACCCGTACATTACCCGTAATTCATATGCATATTTCCCACGAGACATACTCATTACCCATAGCACATATCGCTACTATAGAAGCTATCGCCAAATGTCTCTCTAGCGAGCAGATCTGATGCCTAATAGCCAACACATACAGCCAAATCGAATGATAGCGAATGCTATCATTAAATGATGACATTCTTCAAGATCATTTTGATCAATTTTAAATTATATAAATAAATAAATGAAACGATTTTTGAAAAAAATATAGTAAAAAAACTATTTTATGTTATAAAAGTGCTAATCATTGGCCTACAAAAATAGGATAATGCATGGCCATAAATGAAAAAATCCAGAAACTCATAAGAATTCTTCAGCCTATGACTAGGATGTATTGTGAATAAAATGAAGATGCTTGACTCCTGAAAATCCTTTATAATATGGATCGTTTAATATTTCTCTCGTTTTCTGGGAGCTTTTTTCCCATTAGCATTAATATTTGCAGTATGCATTTTTGTTTTAATATGATTAGTAAAAAATAAATTTCTCTAAATTTTTTCAATTAAAATTTTCAATTTTTTCTTTACAATTCAAATTTATTTTGAATTTTTACCTTTTTTCTTTAGATTTCTAATATTCGATGGTAATCAACAACAGAAGGATTGTGTATTTTTCCACAGTGGTACCGGAAAATCTCCATATATCGTTGATGATTGTAGGAATAAACGAGCATTTATATGCAAAAGAAGGCAAGGTATAATATAACAGTAATGGAATAATAAAAGATTTATCAAACATTAGAAGTACCGTTAACCAACGAAGTACCATTTATTAATTTTTACTTAACATCTTATCAATTAGACTTGGATGGCTCAATGGGTTTTCGCTCTCATTTCGGAACATTAATGCCTATGTTCCTACTATTCTCCATAAGAACAAAAAATTTCTTTTAAAAATGCTGGCTAGCGACTTATTTTTACCTATTGTCAAATGATTCCCCAGTGAAATTTGCCTAATCCGATAAGTCAGTGGTACCTAAATAGAAGTCTAACTAGAAACGGTAAAAACGCTATTATTAATTATTATTATTAGGTATTATTAATTGCCTATATGACAAAAAAATTATTTTTAAATAACTAAGGACCATATTAATTATTAATTTTTTTTAAATATATTTTTTAAAATAAATAATTAAATAATAATTTTTTAAAATGATTTTTTATAAAATTCAGATGGAAGCACAATACCATATGCATTAAACGAAGAGCTTATTCGTAACGGATTTATTTCATCTTCGTTAAGTTCCACATTATGGCTATTCATTTTAATTGCTTTAATTTTACTACTATTAATATTATATTTCTTATGTTATAAATGTAAACGAAAGCGTTTTAATTCGCGAGTATCAAGCGCTGATACTGATCAACGACTCGTGCAAGGTATTGATGCTCATGAAACTAATATTGGTGGTGCTGCTGTATTAACTCGACCTGGTTATTCTGGAGGTAATGCTCAATCTAATTTCATAAATAATCGTATTAAGCCAATCGAAACAAATGCGGCAACTTGGACCAAAAAAGATATAAATATGAACGCTCAAACCAAGTAAATAAACTTAATTTTATTTTTTAATTTTAATATAATTTTAATAATTAATAATTTTTAATTTTGCCAATTTTATTCTAATTTTAATTCCAATTTAATTTTAATTTTTAATTTAATTTTTACTTTCCATCTTAAAATTATTTATTAATTATTATTATTATTATTAAATTATTTATTTATTTTATTAAATAAATAAACTTATTAAATAAATAAATTTAAATAAATAAATAAAAAAGTTTATTAAATAAAATCGAAAAGTAAAATCTGAAATCGTTCTTCAGATTTGATATCGAAAAGGATAGTAATAAGCCGTTTCGACAAAATGCTGAGCATACAACGCATGCTTTTTCACTTCAACCCATAAAATCGTTGTCGGTTTGCGAAAATCTACAAGAGCAATCACTAGTAGAAAATAATTTACTACCTCAAAATGCAACCCCTATAAGTCATACGAGTGAAAAAATGAGGCAAAAGATGGAACGTGGAGAAATATTCGAACGTCCACGAATAAAGATACTCGACCATGTTTCAGCAATAAGTTTAGACGAATTTTGGAATAAAAATAATGTGGAACAATTTTCTACTAAATCTGAAAAATAAAATTTATTATAATTATTATAATAAATATTTTAATAATAAATAAATATTGTGAATAATGTAAACTATGAAAATTATAAATTATAAATGTGTATTATATTATTTTATAAATTATAATTAAATAAATAGAAAACAAAATAAGAAACTTTTTAAGTTAATAAAATTACATATTAAAATAATTAATAAAATAAGTTATTTTTTGGGTAATTTTATTATATATAAGTATTTATTATATATAAGTATTTCTTAATAAAAATTTTATATCATTTGATACTTTATTTTATTTTATTATTTTATTGATACTTTTAAAAAATGCTGCCCTTTCAATAAAAAGATTCATATTATTTTGATGACTTCTTTACACTGGATTATAGTTCCAATGGTTCTAAATGTTCCAAATGTAAAAGCAGTCAAAGGCTGGAATATCAATCAAATGAAATTTCTATTTTAGGTTATATCTATATTTATGTAATAATTTGCGATATTATCTTAGAAATTATCTAGAAAGTACCATACAAAAACTACAGGAACACTTGTAAGCGCCGCTTTCGATCATTGTAATTTTTCTTTCAAAAGTCGTGATTTGCTTGAGGATTAACCAAACCATCATGCGATCAAATCATCAAGCAATTGGCCACATTCTTACCTATATAATTTTCAAAAATCAAAAAACTATTATTAAAAAATATTGCAACAGTTCGCTTTATTGCTTCGAATCAGACAAATTTTGCCAAGGAGTTCACTTGGTGATAAAAGTACAAAATGTCACCAGATTTTTCAACAATCTTAATAAAATTTCTATAATATAAAAAAAAAGAAAGATTGCAATATTTATTATATTAATGAAATGGTCCACGGAAAAATTTTATTAAAAAAAAAAAAATTTCAAATAAAATAATATAAAAATATATTAATTTTTGGTAAATCTTTAAAATTCATTGAATGGGAATATTTGATTTCGTCTATTCAAGTGCTATCATTAAAATTTAAACAGCACGACATATCAATAAAATGATAATAAAAATGACGAATAGTCCAATTTTAATTATATATTTAATATTATACAATTGTCGTTAGAACGAATAAATATTTATAAAATATAAAATAAACTTTTTAAATTCAATACAATATATAGGTTTCATTAGAAAATTAGTGACTAGAAAGCGATTTAAGCAAAGCTCAGATTAATTTCTAAATTCAGCACTAGCTAATCATAAATTATTACATAAATTAAACATAATTTTAAAAAAATCTTTTCCTTATAGGCGATAAGGACTATCCTAAATCTCGGCTCCTCTACCAGGGGCTTTTATCCTATAGATGGTGAGGATCATTCAACTTCAGGTTCTCTAGTATTAGAAGACTGAGGGTTCTGCGCTATTCTTTCTTTATAGTGCATGTAGCGCGTTTTTCTTGACAGAGATCTCTTATGTTGCCCTGGAATCTGTCGAAATCACTTTTCTGGTTTAGGATTCACAATTCTTACTACTCTTACTACCTAGTACCACTGGGATATATATACTTATATTTCTACTTCATTAAACAATAAGATAAATGTGATAATTTGATAAACATATTTAAATTCAAATTGATAATAAAATAATTCCATTATCATTTTAAAGCCGATATCCAAACCGCAAAAATCCTTAACGCTTATTACTCATTACTCTTTTTAATCCGTCAGAATCCGACCTTATTCCCTCAACGCTTATCTCTTCTTTGCATTATAATCCAAATAGATTAGTATTAATTAAACTTAAAATTAAACTATTTGCGCGTTAACTGTTAGAAAACAATTGTCGGACAAAAAGAAAAAAATAATGTGGTTTCATTTTACAAAGAAAGAATTAATAGCAAAAACAATGAATAAATAAAAATACATAAGAAGTTATTAGCAAAAAAATATTATAACAAGACTTATCACGGGGTTTTAAGTGGAGAGATGCCAGGTTTCAGACAATATTAAGAAAATAAAACGAGATTCTAAAAAAATTAGAATAAATTTGAAAATTAGGGATTGACAAATTTATTGAAATGACGTTTGGCGAGGTATATGAAAGAATAGAACCATATTTTCATAGGTATTAAAATGATATTTACTTAGATTTTCCGAAAAAACCAAGTATAAATATGAAAAGCCAAAATTTCGTCAATTATAATACTTTCCTTGAAACCTTTAAACCATGAACCATGAAAAACCTTCGTTATAAGTCAGCAAATCAAGAAAATGAGGAGGTGACGGAGGCGAAGTTATTCAGATTATCATTTGCCAATATTTGAAATAGCCTATGCAAAAAAAAAAATTAGATTAAGCTTGTTATTTAAAAATGCGAATAGCACTAGCGATTCAATCTCTAATATTTTTAGCCTAGTGAGCATCTAAAAGTTTTAAGCGCATTAATTAGTGGAATATACCTAAGCAGAAATAAATAAGCAATAATAACAATAATTGCAGCTTACTTGCTTGAATAATCGATTCGCAAAAAATTTATGTATATATTTATATATATTTAAATTTAAATTTATATATATTTAAAAATAATAATATACACATATATATAATTAAGCAAAGAGTTAATAAGAAGGAAATTATATAGCAAGTAAAATGAATAGTGAATAACTTTCTCATATTTGCTAAAATACACTAAAACATATGTGAAAGATATTTAAAAAAAAGAGTAAAATGTACGAATTTAGAAATAACTGAATAATTCATTAGATGCAACTTCACATGTCAAACGTACATTATACATTAAGAAGATTTCGTTTTCTGCTAAAAGAGAAAGCTTGCGGATGAGAAGAAGGCAACAAAATATGACAAATAAATGAACGACCATTGATAAGGCCTAAAAAACGACGCCAATTCAGAAAGATATCGCGAAAACAAGTGGACCGTAGTCCCTTATGCCGATTATTTCTCTGAAAATTATTATATCTTAAATTAAAACAGCTTTATAATGCATAATAATAAGACTAAAGAAAAATTTCGAGATGCAATGGTTTTACTGATTCATTCGACTTAGCAATATAAAATTTCCAAAAAAATACTAATAAATAGAAAAAATACTAACTATAAAATCGATTAAGGTCTCATCAAGCGATATAAGATATATATTCCAAAGACTAAATCCACCTAAAACAAAGAATAACAAAATTGCTAAACCATAATTGAAACAGAAGCACCCATTCAAAAGCGATGGAATTTCGGTGCAAAACCATGACTGCCATAAAACCCATTCCATTTGTTCTTTACAAAATGGACTTCGATGAGTTCTCTGAAAATAAAACATATAAGATTAAACTAAAAAATTGCCTTTTATAGTTTTATAGTTTTAAAAATTGAAATTGAAATTCTAAATATTCCATTCTTTAATATTTTTGATGGTGAAAATAACCGAAAGTGAGTATTCTCAAATGAGTACTTTTTAAAATGATTAAAAATTAATAAATTCTTAACGCATAATTCTTACATTAAGATTTTCAAAATATTCCCAAAATGCTGTATAATTACTAAATAATATAACAGATTCAGCGATCCATACAAAAACAACAAACTGAAGAAAATAACGATGATTGTTAAGGCCAACACATTGATTTATCCATATACAATGATGATCCATTTGTAAAATACAACGATTACATATCGAACAGTGATGAGTTCTTTCCGGTTTATGATTATTACACTTATAACACCAAGGACGCGTTTGTGACTAAAATTATAATAAATTATAATAATATAAATGGCAATTTAATGAATAAAAAAATGACTTTCAAATGTCAAATATTAAAATTTCATGACATTCACTTAGCCAATGGTTTTTGCCTAATTTCACCAACAAACCTTTATGAAAAAGCTAATAACTCCCTAAGAATCATTGATAATATTAAAAAGAAAAAATGTACGCATGAAAAAAAAAAACAAACCTGATCAGGTTTTCCTGGATCCACATTGCAAGCTTTATAATAATGAAAATTTATATTTATTATCAAATAAATACCAAGAATAAAATAAAAATATAAAACGACTGACGGTCGAATATGATTTTCATAAGGAAAAAATAGCAAATATTCCGTTAAAATAGCAATTAATAGTAAAAAATGAACCAGAAAAAAAAGAATCTGCAAAGTAATATTTGAAAATTAAGCCGAAAACGGATTTCTTTCTTTTTTTAATACTCACTCACCCATATTCACCAAATTCTGATTAAATTCGTTCCGTTAGCTTATCAAATAAAATAAATTATGCCGGGAAGTCAGCTGATGGCAGAATTAGAGGGACTTTCTTTTGAGACAAAAAGATTTATTTCTACGAGAAGTGAAACTCATGACAACCCATTGAGCCATTCCACTAGTGAAATCCGAATTTTTAAAATTTTAAATTTTAAATCTGAATTTCAAAAAAAAACCAAAAATGGATTTGCTGATAGCGAATTATCACCAAAAATCCTCTTTACTTGATATATTTAAAAATAAAAAATAACTTTATCTCTATTCCAAATCTCAAATATTTATTTCAAATATAAAATATTTCAAATCTCTTTAATATGAAAAAAATAAGAAAAAAACGAACCTTTCCCAATCCTCTTCGAATGAAAAAATTTAAAAAAAATATATAGAAATTTATTAATTTATTAATGTTAATATGCATAAATTTTAAGGCGGAAAATTTTCGAAAACAACGAAATTTTTCATAAAAAATTAATCGTTTATTACAAAATTTATAAAACATTTTTTCGAGGAGAAATATTCCTAAAAAAATTTTCAATTTCTTTTAATTACAAAAATCTTAAAATTATAAAATTTCTATGAATTCTACGAATTTTAATTATCACTTATAAAGAAAATAATTTTTTGAAATTTTTAAAAATATTCAAAAAATTTTTAAGAAATAAAAAAATTAAGTCCAATAATTGAAATAAAAATTTAAATAACTAAATAAATTTAAAAAGAAAGAAAAAAAAGGTTCCTTCCCTTCCGTCACCTAAAATGAAAAACGCATTTAAAAACAGCCAAAAACGTAAAGGAAAGAAAAATTAAAAAAAATAAAAATAGATCAGCCGATTGTTTAAATCTCTCGGCTTAAGATCTCAGATTTCTATTTAACGGCGCAGATAATTTTAGTTCATTTTCTTTCAAACTGTTTTTTTTGTCGTAAATTTTTAAAATTTCTAAAATTCTATTAGAAGAAATAGCTCTTACTCGTCGATTCATAATTTTTGCAATAAAATTAGGCAAATATGCCAGGGAGTCCCTTGACGATAGAAATACAGGCCAGTCGCCAACATCACCGGCCCTCGCCCGGATTTTTGTACAGGTTTACTCCTGCGGGGAATCGAACCTCAGCATCGACGCTCCCAGTTGAGCAACACTGAGCACTAAACCATTCTATCCCCAAATTAATGATCATGATTTATTAATTAATTAATTTTTAAATTAATTTAATTCTCTCCAATATCTTTTTGTTTTAAATTATTTTTCATTATTTAAATTTTTGATTTAAATTTATTTAGCAAAAAAAAATTTACATATTTGAAAATCATTTTCGATATATTTTTATTGTTTTTATTTTATTGTTTTATTGTTATTTTATTGTTTTTAAATTTTTTAATGCAAAAAAATTTTCCTTCATCTTTCTTTGAATAGTCGTGAATTTCCTCAACTTCGGGTTCTCTGTCAGAGATCCGCGAAATTGAAGGCTTTGCGCAGTATTTTAGCGTTGCTCCAAATAATGCGCTCTTATGGATAGAAATCTCTGATGTTGTTCCTGGAGTCTGCCGCTGAAGGCACTTTTCTAATTTAGGACAGTTCCACGTGCTCCAACTGTCACTGGAATTACTTTGACTTTTACTTTCCGCATTTTCTTTTTTTGCTGTCAATAGTATTTTTCTAACTTCTCATATTCCTATCGCTTAGTAATGCTGTATCAGTTATTATTATTTGAATATTTTTTATTATTAGAAAAAAACGACAATGTTGCTTTCGATCGATGATTTAGCAAAAATTCGTGATTTGGTTGATGCGTTTAAGAAAGAAGGAAGATTCGATCAACATCGACGTGATGCAATCACTAAAATTACTCACAGCGTTTGTTTTAATTTTATTTTAATTTTATTAATTTTAAATTAATCTGATCTAAGTTTCTTTAGACTTTCCCTAAGCTTTCATATAATTTTATATGGGAACAGATTGTGGGCAGCACAGATTATCGAGTTGAGAAGTTCGGATTCGGTTGTCATCTCGAATAGAAGCCATAAAACTCGAATCGTGCTGATAACCCGCCTGTATTTCTATTGTCTATTACTTGGCAGCAATTCATTTTCATGTTCGAGCTGGCAGTCAACGGAGAAAGGTTGTTCCTTACTGGAAATGGTGAGCATAAGCCACCAAGATTCTGGCTTGAAAAGAAGTCTATAAAAATTTTTAATGATTTCTGTTCATTAATGGAACTTTTAGCCTTCCTTTTCATAGATTTAAAAATCTTGGTTTAAAAAAAATTTTAAATTTAAATTTTTCGTGGATTAAATTTTTAATTATTCTATACATCTTTCTAAAATTTTATCGGTTCTTTATCCTATTATCGTTCCTATCTATTTCTAGCAATAACTGATAGTATTGTAAGAATTTTGTGAATCAATAATTTACGAAATAGAGATATCTTATTTCTTTATCGCCAAGTGATTTTTTAGCGAAAGTACTATCATGCGAAATATTTAGTGAAGTCAGCCAATGCATAATGTATACAAGAAAATGAACAATATTATTATTTTTTAATATTTTAATATTTTTTAACAATATTTTTTTCTATTTTTTTATTATTTTTTTATTATATTATTTTTTATTATTTTTTTTATTGTATTTAGAATTTTGAATTATTGTAATTTAGGCTGAATTTCGAAAATTGATTATGGATGCAGAAAAGCTTAGTGAAGAATTTTTACAGTCGAATGCATCGACGTATAGCAAAAACGAAGCTCGTCAAAAACTTGGAGGACAATTACTTACAAAATTCGCTAAGAGGTGTGAAGCAATCGTTTCTAAAGTTTGTTTTCATACTTTTTAATTTCCATCCATTTTTTAATTTTTTAATAATTTTTAATTTTCTTTCATTTTTTGTTAGTTTTTTAAGTAGATAGCTTCTTTTTTTTATAATTGATAAAAATTGATGCTTCCTTCTAATAATAATTTTTTAGCTATCTTTGAATAGAAATTTAAGTCCTATGAGTACTAACTGAAACTTTTTTGATAATGACTGTAGTAATTGGCTGAAATCGATGTATTTTTTTATTTTATTATTTTTTATATTATTTTTTTTGTTGCAAAATTTCATTTAAGGAAAGTCGCAATATGGAGAATGTCGATAATTTGACGAAAGAAGTTGAACAAAGAGTTGATTCATTTCTTGATTTGAATATAAATGACAAAAATTTGGAAATAAATGATGATCATCAGGTACTTCGTATATATTTCATTGTTCTTTCTCATTAATTTCCCTTTATATTTCTTTATTTTTTCTAAAATTTACGGTGTTTTTTTTGCATTTTTTTAAAAGTCTTTTAAAAAATTTTCTTGGAAGATTAAAATATGAAATAGAAAAAAGTATTGATGAAATTTTATTCTTTTTGTTTTTCATTGCAAATGGGCATCTCTCAATTATTTTGTAATTTTCGGTCTGTGACATGGATATTGATTCTGATTCTGACCACCATTCCTCTCATTTTCGAAAAATTGATGATTATGAATGTAGCACAAGCAAAGCGACTCAAGGAGGTTAATTCTAATGCAAAATAGAATATCCTATCGTCTTCTTCGCATAGTAAGGTTTGTTGCAGAGTGTATTATATATTTCTTTTCCTTAATTATAGGTAAGCCCTTATTTTTGAGTTTATTGTTGGTAAATAAGTTCTTGGATCGTATTAGGCATTTCATTAATATTTTTAATTTTATTCATATTTATGGTTTCTCAATAATTTTATTCCTATCTTACTTATTATATTTTTTTAAATTTTTTTGAAGAAACATGGATAGTTTAAGTTCCTATCACTTTTATCATTCATTGAAAGTAGTATCTTCATTGATAGTATCTGGTGGAAGTAGCAAAAAATTTACTATAGTTGATTCAGAAAGTATGTTATGATTTCAGAAACTAACAGCGTTAATATCCATTCGATTTTGTCGAGGCGAAATTAATCATATGCAAATAAAATCAGCATTTCTACCTATTTCCAACTACTAATAGGTTAATAATAATAGTTGGTCACAGTCAGTGGTAAAAAAAATCGAAGCGAAATGCATTAATGGAGTCTCGTCGATGAATATGGTTTTCGGACTCTACAAAAAGTCGCCATTTCGAATATTACAAATTAATCAGTCTAACAGCATTATTTAATAATTGCTAATTTTTATTTATTTCACTATCTTCCATTTGGAAAATTTAATTTTTTTTTTGCAATTATTTAATTTTTCTGTTACATTTTACACATTTTCTTTTCGAAATACTTTGACTTATGGAATCTTTTATCATTATTATTATTAAATATTTTCATGATATAAATAATATTGTTAAATAACTGCGAAGAAAAAAACAAGTTTTTAGATTAAGCATTCATTTCATCATCTACAGTGAATCTTTTTAAGTAGAACATCTCTAAGTTCTTCAGTTCTCTTTCCAACAAAGACTTTTCCTGCATCTCCCGTGAGTGATATTAAATAATTGCTGGAAAAAGAAAAATTTCATAAACTAAAATTTTATATAAATAATGGAAATTAAAAAGAATTTTCTCGTTTAATTCTCCTCAAAAGTCCATTTCTTGTCCATAACTTATAGCGGAATGTATAATTGCAAATCAAATTTTTTTTCAAGCCTTGAATGTTATCACCAACATATGTGAATGAATGCAAAAAAAAAAACAAACTTACTAGTTATTTAACTCTGATAAACTTGCGGCATACAATTCGAGATTAGGCAATTTTCGAATTACTTCGGCTGGTTTAATTGCGTCGTCTTGCGAAAAACTATGAATTTTTGAAATATTAAAAAGAACAAAAATTTATAATAAAATTAAGCTTGAGTGTCAAAAAAAAAAAGAAACTTGAAGAGTACTCTATTCAGAATGTTAAAAGCTGAAGCTGAAGTCTTAGCTTAAAACCAAGCCTTAAAGTTTTGGAGATGGACATTACTGTTGAAGAATTTTTATTTGTACTCAGCAACTCTTGCGCGCAATTGTCCTATTGCATTCAGCACTTCCTAGCTATGCAATTCTTACTCGAACTGAATGGAAACATACCCATCACTAACTAAGATAACTGTTGTTGGTACGTTGCGCCTTCTTTGTTCCAAGAGATTTAATGAGGCTTGTAAAGCTCGACCTATGTAGGTTGTACCTGAAATGAAATAGTGTGATTTATTTATTTTTTCCATTTTTTCCTTAATTTTAAACGATTGAATTACGGAATTAATTGAAAACCTGTAAAATGGCGAACTTGTGCCATCGCTCGCATAATAGATTCCTTTTCGTCAAAAGTATCAAAAGCCCATTCAGTTCGTTGGTGAGCGCTACCAGCAAATTGGAGTAGTGCGACTCGTTGTGATTTTTCACCAACCTATATTTTCATTTTATTATTCTTATTCTTATTCTGAATTTCTTTCCTTTATCATTACTGGTTAAACTCGCTTCGCTGACTTACTGACTTGTTGGACAAATATGCCAGAAGAGAAATTTCTTAGGAATTTCTTAGAAGTATAGGAGAGTTGTCATCACTTAGATTTTTGATTAAGTTTATTTTTGCTGGGAATGGAACCTTAGCATCGGCGCTTCGAATTGATCAACGACCCACTGGGCGATTCTAATCACCATTTTTGAACTGAGAAGCTTGTTATCAGAAAAAAATGAAAATTTTGAATAAAAAAAATTTTTAATAAAATTTTGTTACTTCTATTTCTGATAGTAATGAAAGAAGGAAATCCTTTTGTTGATCGTAAATATCTTGGACAGAGCCCGAACTATCAACTACGAATAATAAATCGATGGCACAATTTCCTGCAATAAAATTTATCAAATATTAAACCAAATTAGTAGAATGATAATATTCTTTCTCACCATTTCTTACTTGGTTGGTACCACTATTGAGGATAAGGTCTTCTCGCCATGGATAGTATCATTCCGGTTAGTAGGTCAAAGCTTATTCTCATCAAGAGATAGAAATGGAGCTCATAGTGCTCGAAATGGTACTCTATTCGATCATTTTAATACATTTCCTATTTTTATATGCAGGATTTTAAAAAAATGCTTGATTTATATAAAAAGTTTGAGAAAATATCTACCAAACTCTTTTCGATTGTCTAGTCTTGGCGCTGATGAAGTTGTACTGGATTGAATTATCCTGCAAATGAGGTGCGATAAATTAATAAATAAATTCAATCACCACGTTATCCATGAAAAATCTTTGGCTTGAATTTATTGCCTAGTTTAATTTAATCTCATAAAATATTTATAGATTATGGAACCAAAAAAACGATGAAAAATTAAAAAATACCTTGTGGTTGGAATATTTGGACGATTCTGTGCCACTAATTCTTTATCTTGTTGAGTTCGATTTGCTCTATTTTCGGTGAATTTTGGTCGTTTTTCGAATTTCTTGGTGGTTAATTTTGAAGTTGTCGTGATCACTGTTGATAATGAACTAATATTTTCCTGTGAAAAAAGAAATCTTCGATTTAAACTTTTCGCAATTAATTCCAATCTCACTTATTTATTTATTAACTTATTTATTAAATTTACAATTATCACCATCGTATGCCATATAATAATATTATTAATCGAGACTTACAACGTTTGGTCCTCTTGGTGTATGGTCTTCTTCGGTAGTTGGTGAATTGGTAACCGTTTCTTCTCTCGCATCCGTTAATCCATCTTCTCGATTTATAACTGTGCTGCTGCTCCGAGAAGAAATAGTAGTTTTTTGTTCAGTTTGCAATAATTGTTCTTGTGCAGAAATATTGGCGGATACAAAAAAATCTGCTTCTAGTGGATTGTCCAGAATTTTCGTAGTCTTCAATTTCTTTTCATTATCGCAATTTATTTAATTATTATTGGATAAAATAAAATTGAATAATAATTGAATAATAATAATTTTATTAATTGAATTATTATTATTATTTTTTTCTAGGAGCACTAAGCATTGACCAATTTCTGATTGGATTTGCTTCATTGACTTGTCGGACCAAATAAATTTTATTAGGAAGTCACTTGGCGATTGATACTAAATCGCCAGTGCCATGCCACCTAAATTTTTAGAAGATAGATTTATCGAAAGTAGAATCCCAGCAACAGCGCTCCGAAATGAGAACAATAACCCACAGTGATTCCTTAACCCTAATTGAATGAAAGAGAGGATTTTAAAAGTTTTTTTTCAATATTATTATTTTTCATAATTCATTTTGTGATAAATGATAAATGATAATCACTATCACATTCACCTGTGATTGAGGTAAAATATGTTGTTGTAGAGAGAATTTTCGTGATTTATTTTCCGTTGTTTGCTTAAGCGGTGAAATTTTAGATTTGCTTTGTTCAATTTGATCTTCAATATTACAAAGTCCATTAATATCATTGAGAAGTGCTTCCCGTAGTTTCAAAAAATCATTCGGTCTGAATTTGAAAATTATTAAATATATGATAAAATTTTGTAGGATTGCTTCTGAGACCTGATTCTTCTTCAGCTTCTGAAATCCGATCTTCTATTTTTCATCATTTATAATGCCTTTAATATCTGAAGCCTAATCTATTCTTTATTTTCCAATCTTAGATCTGATCACTTATAATGCCTGTTGAATCGCTTTTATTTCGCTTTTTGAGGCCTGGTGTACTATTCATTATCTTATATTTAATACCTTGCCTACCATTTTTTCCACTAATTAAGACATGGTATGAATGAAAAAAATAATCTAAAATGTGTGTATTTAGCTTTGCCTTAAAAGTCTGCGATCTTATCAAGAGATCATTGCGAAAGAATAACTCCATATTTGGAATAGAAATACAAGTGGTATTCAGAATAACACGAAATAAGGATATCTTCAAGATTTTATAAGTCTTAGAAACTCGCTTGAAATTGGTGTTTTTCATATAAATTCAAAAAACTGTGCGTAAAATTAGTAAGTGATTAGCGCTCACTTATCCTGGATTTAGACTGGCCCAGCTAGTTGTTAATACGATAAGAAATCTTTGCTAACGAGTTATTTGGCTAGAAATTCTATTTGCGTTCATAAATAGAATCTAAGCATCCATTTAGATTTTATATATCCACGGCAGATATTTTTGCTTCTTCAAAGGATAATTCTTCTTATTGTTTTACATAAAAAACTGGATAAATTTTGTCAAAAATCCTATTGATAATTATTTAGAAACAAACGTAAATTTTAGCCAATTTTTTGTATTATTACTTGAAAAATACAAGTAATCTACTTAGATTACGTAATTCAGAATTTTTCTAAAAAAAAAAAAAAAAAATAAAATTTTAAAATGGAAAATCCATTAGAAATTATTAACCCAAAGACATTGGCTTTTTCTCCAGCGATTCGTTCCATTTCTACTTCGAAACCGTCTGAACCAACAGTAACCACATAAATTTTAACATTTTTATTTTTACGCAATTGACTCGCCGGTTTTAGTGGATCGTCAACCGATAGGCCATCCGTGAAAAGTACGATAACTTTTGAAGCATCAGGTCTAAAAAGTAGATTTTCAAATTTTTCAAGAGATTTTTCAATGATTTTTTTATTTTCTAAAATTTTCTATCTAAAAATGATTGCTTTCAAATTTTCCTCTCACTTTTTCAATCCTTAAACAATTTTCAATCCTAAAATTAAAAAAAAAATGAAATCGTATACAACAAGTTGATCATTCATTCACCGCGGATTTATTATAAGGCAAATAATAAATAAATAGGTCATAAAAATATTTTTTTGCAAGTCATTGTAGAGAAAAAAATATGAGAAACTCGATTAGTTCTTCAGCTGACTGGTACCGTATAAAATATTTTCATTTTTATAACTCTTCTTTCAGTATAAATTTTCTCAATTGGAAAAAGAAAAAAACAAATTTTATTTTAATTTTTTGCTATATAAAAAATTTTCGGATTTTTCAAATTTTCATATTCCATATGAAAATATTCAAACAATAATTGAATCAATCCTAAAGAATTTTTATGAAATTTAATGCATGATTATTTTCGTTTATACCTTGCACCTTTTCGTTCATCGAATAATTCCGTTTCAACTTTACGAAGCGCATAACCAGTTCGCGTCACTCCCGACTGAAATTTGATTTTCGATAAATGCTTTTTGATATTTTTCGAACTAATATATGTGCCAAGCGAGAATTCAGTTGTTGGATATTTGGCATATTGAATAACAGCCAATCGAACGTTCTGTTGATCAATCGGTAATTCATCAATTAAACGAATAGTCCAATTTATTTGTCGTTCATAAATTTGCTCGACACTACCCGACGTGTCAATAATAAAGGCCATATCCGTTTTTAAATCGCAAATTTGATTTTCTAAAATATAATTTTTCAAAATTCAATTTTCTTAAAATAAAAGGTGAAGTTAAAAAAAGAATAAGAGTAAAATATTTTTTAAAATATTTCATTAATATTTTTTTAGAGGAAATAAAAAAGTGCACTATTAGCGACCAAGCATATCTGGTTAAGCTCACTCCACTGACTGATATTGATATGATAATGTGATATAATATGATATGGACCATTTTTTCTTGTGGTTATCAGTGGAATATAAGTGATTCACCAAAATCATTTAAAATTTTTAATGCGACAAAATTCTATTGTTGACATCCGAATCTATGCAAAAATCATTCGGCTATCCAATCTATTATCAATAATTCACTGGTACAAAAACAAAGTGAAACAACTAAGAATATTGTAATCACTAATCACTATAATCACTAATTTGCGAAAAAAATATAAATAAAAGATTTAAATATAAATAAAATATAAATAAATAAAAGATTTTACCTGGTTCCATCGTTTCTGATTCAGAAAATTGCTGAATTAATGCTTCATCAAGATGCATTTTAGGTAGCGATTCCATATTATCATTTTCTGATAATAATCCATCACTATCAGTCGTTTCAATTTGTTCACTTTGAAATTCTTCTTTTAAAGAAGGTAAAACAAGAGTTATATCATCGGCACCTGAACCATCTATCGATTCATCCAATGTGGTTATTGTACCAAAATTTTCACTCTCTTCACCAATATTTTCACCTCTTTGAATAAATAGAAATATTATAAGAAATGAGGAACCGAATCGAATTAGACTACCCATTTTTGCAATAATGATTCTTTTTTGTTTTTAAGTAGTCCTTTTATCTGGGAAATTCATCAAATGGGGTTTATGTACCAAAAAATTAAACCCGCCTATAACGATAAATATTTCGATCTTCTTTTCCCTCTTTATTTCATTTCTTTCTAATCACCCCCTCTCTTTTCTTAATAACAACTATTTATAGTGGGGAAACAAGAAAAAAAAAAAAAAGATAAGAAGATATTAATTTTAACGATATCCTTATAAAATCAATTTTCAATTCTATAACCAGGTCAGCCGTGTCACATTCAACTTTTTTTTTTTCTTCAACTTTTTCACCTTTTCTTTTCACCATTGAATTAATTTTTTTTTTTTACGAGGTGAGAAAATAGGTAATACCGATAACACAATTTATTTAATTTCAATTTTCCTTTCTTTTTTATTGAATTTTATAAAAAAATTCCGCATCTTATAAATTTTCTTCTTTCTTTTTTGCTTGGTACCATTCCGTAAAATATTAAACGCTCACTTTTTAAAAATTATTAAGCTAGCCTTTGCATCGCAAATGTTATAGGTCAACAAGCAAGGTTCAATAGGTCAACCAATAAAGCAATATGTTATAAATTTCCACATATTCCACATGTATTTAAACCTTTTCTCACCCTTAGTGGGTCATATGGGCTATCGTTCTCTAATAGAGATCTGTCAGTTTGAGGGTTCCATGCACAATATTGGCTAGTTTCTGGCAGTATGCTCTTCTGAACAGAGATATATGAATATATTGTATATACTATAGAATATTTCGAAAAATTTTAAGACAAAACATGGTCGAAATTATTTCACCGCAGATTTCAAGAAAGAGATATAGGAAATAAAATCTGGTTAAACAGGTTATAATTTATAGTGCCTTAAAGGAACATTTTAAACCTCGAAATAGATTTTTGTTTAGTGAAAAATTCTTTTGCATTTTCAAAAAAATTATTTTAAATATAATATAAATTTAAAGATAATTTTTTAACTAATAACATCTATTTTATAAATATATGCATATAAACATTTAAATAAATAACTAAAAATATATAAATATATGTAAATATATAAATAATAAATATATAAATAATAAATATATAAATAATAAATATATAAATAATAAATATATAAATACATAAATAATAAATATGTAAATAATAAATATTTAAATAATAAATATATAAATAATTAAATATTTTAAATAAATTATTTTATAAATAATTACCTAATTATTAATAATTATCAAATTAATAATTATGAGACGAGTAGTAAGACAAAATTAAAAGGAAATATGGGACTAAATGGTGGCTCAGAGGCATGATAATTAACAATATGAATCGAGGCTTGGATTCGAATTCGCCAATGTACAATCTTCATTCCGCCTGTGGCAGTGTCGTCTAACAGCGAGAAAGTAGTAAAATGAATGGCTCAGTTGGTTTTTGCTTAATCCAGATTTTGCTGAAGTTCTACTGCCGGCAGGAGTGATCTTCTCCGAAAATTCGAGGTGGTATTGAAAAATAACGCCGACGACTCAGCTAGACTTCTATCGTTAAAGAACTTCCTGTCATATTCATCCAGTGCGATACGCCAGAGGAGCGAGTTGAACCAACACAGAAAAAAAAAGTCATATGAGTTGTTTTCGTTGAGGACAAATCATAGGTGACAGATGATAGGTGAAGGTGTTTTTTTTTTTGGAATATTTAAACTTAGAATTTTATTCTATAAAATATTTGGTGAAGCGATGAAATTTTTACTCGAAAGAATTTAAAAGGATTACAAAAACTGGTAATTCGTAATTTTAATGATTAATTATAATGTAAAATTTGCATTGATCATCGATTATCAATTTCTTTAAGCTTGAAAGACCATTAAAAAAAAACGCTGATTCTTATCATTTGAAACAATGTAACAACAAAATAATTGATGGCAGATATGATATAGGATAAAAATATGTTATCAGGCATGATAACGCTCGTTTATGAATATTGTTATTCAATGTGCTCAACGATCGATCGACATCGATGATGCTACAATTAACTTTTACTTTAGTTATCACCTTATCACCTTAATAAATTGTTTTGTGATAATATTAAAAATTTGATATTTCTTGTATATTAAATAAGAACAAAATGTTCACAAACCAAAAAAAAAGGAACAATAAGTGATTTGTTGGGAAATTTTGAATTGAAATGAAACAGACTTTTAATGATTTATTAGTGAGGAAAAAAAAATTTATTGGATATAATTTTCTTAAGGAAAAATTCTCTCAAAATCCAAATTTTGAATTTGTTCAATGAAATTTTCTTTTTATTTTTTTTTTTTTGTTTGAAAAATTTCATTTAAATAATTGTTTCATGTGATACATGAATGACTCAATAAGAGCGTTATTGGCCTAATTTCGAATCGCTGATTCTGGAGTTCTATTCCTAAGCAGGGAAAAAATTTTTTCCCATTGATCCTAGTGACTCACATATAATTCTATTTAATTAATTCGCTGATCCTATAAATCAGCGGTGAAATTTTTCTGGTGCGCTAAACTAACGAATGGAAATGGTCAATTAAATGCCCTTAGAAAAAAAGATTCTATTAGTATTTTCGTATGATTTTCAAAAAATTCTTCAAGAAAATTTTATTAGATTTGATTAGATGATTTATTCATAGATAATTTCTACGGAAAGGTGAAAAAATCGAAAATCGAATGTTTTTATCTTCTGTTATGCATCATTTCTGTTTTAGGCTAGTTCCACTAGCCACTAGAACAAATCTTTTTCAATAGAGAAACATTTAGGAAAAGAGATGAACTGCTGGCAATCACTCGGATTTTATTTCGAATCGAGCGAATCAAATATTGGACACCTTACCACTTTATCACCATATGGTATAAGATAAAGGACAAAAGAGACAAATTATCATTTTTTTTCCTAAACGTAATTCTTATCACCATACAGAAAATTATCATTTGTTGCATCTTTAATCGAAGCGACATATGATTCTTTAATTTTCACTTTCATTTCATTGTATTTTAATAATAATCGTATTATATATTAAAATATAAATTTATATTCTTGAAAACCTCGGAAAATTGACAATTTTTCGATAAAAAAAAGACGACCGGAAACGATAGAAGATGCGATGTAGCATAATTTGGAATGATAACTTTATATATAAATTACTTAATTGAAGACACTGATAAATCCTTTTTTTTCCTATTGATATGACAAATATTTCAAGAATCAAACATTTCACACGATTTCTAATCGTTCGAATCTGATTACTTGAACATATTTCAAATTAAAAACCTGATTTGTGATATAAGAAATTCTTTAAATACATGAATCCTATCATTTGTAAAAAAAGATTTACTGTTATAATTCATGGAAACATGGTTGCTACTATTTGATGAACCGATAAGGAAATTTTCTGAAATGGTTTATGCGCAAAACCTTATCACCATATAAGATATAAGAGAAATTATCTTCCTTGGTAGTTATTATTTCACCAAACAAGATATAAATAAGATAACAAAAACGTAACTCTTATCACCATAAATGATAATATAGGGAGTAATATTTTTTTTTCTTTAACGTAATTCTTTTACCACATTCTGCTTTAAATAAAAACATTAGCCGATCCACAATATGTGTCGATTCTTCTTCGTCTAACAGCTCTCACCATTACTGGTTAGACTGGCTCCACTGGCTACAAGAGTAAAATGTCTCCAAGCTACTCGGTCCGACGCCATCGCTAATAGAAAAGAAGAAGAGCCATTCCTTTTTCTATCGTCTAAATCCATATCCTCTTATACATTCAAAATCTTTCAATATGTGTCGATGTATGTATAAATATTCAAATATTTAATTTTCTTTATGTATTTTTCCCTTGAAAAAAAAAAGATGTAATATGTTCTGTAAACAAAAGTAAATCGAATCCCATTAAAATTTCGAAATTAAATTTACACGTAGCGAGACAATTCGGTGAGATGAAAATGATAAAATAAATTTGTACTACAGTTGACACAAAAAAAAATAAATTTTTTTTATTCTATCAATTGCCAATCGTTGAAAATATCTGATAATAGGCGATAAATTGAAAATATAAGGAAAATGGATCAGATTCATTAGTGATAGCCGCTCTTACAATATCACATTTATTTACAAATTTTTTCTTCTTTTTTTTTTCAATCGCCTATTTTTGTTTGGTAATATGAAATGTCCTCGTTTCGAAAAACGATAAACGATAAAAATGATTACCACTTAAATTCACATTTGAAATTTGATTTAAAATTTGATTTGATTTGGTTTAAAAAAAAAATATGAAAAATCAATCATTGTAGCAGCTCAGCTCATAGTTCATTATCTATCCTAAAACTGATAAGTTATGCAAAAAATCTGGTGAACACGGAACTCATCTACTAATTCAAAAAATGAGAACGTAAAACTACTTTTTATTAATTATTTACCACAGGCACACAACAAAAGTATATAAGGCGAATAATATGCACTGCAAACAAATTCATATTAAAAAAAATATTACTGATAAAATTTTAGAAAAAAACGTCTCAATATTTTAAATCTTTATATATGGATTAAGGAAATTAATAAAGTTAGGGACCATGTCAAAGATAAAGATATTTAACCAAAATGTTAAAGGACTGGTTTACTTTATAGTGCAAAATCTATAAAAAAAGACATTGGTACAGATACTCAAGGTCCAACTGCCTTCAAATAAATCTAGTAAAATTTTTTCAATATTTTTCAAACTCTCAAATTCCTTCGTTCTGCTTAATAATTTACTCGTTTACCCGTCATATTTTCTTAAAATTTTATCATATAAAAATACTATTAATATAAATGTTAATCTTTACGCAACTTCCCTGCAAATCATAAATATTTCTGCTTCAAAATTTTCTATTATTTATTTTTTTTAATATAAAATTGAAGTTCCGTCTCTAAGACTGCTTTCTTCCTTATTAATTGCAAAATGAAAAAGTCCTAAGCTTTCTTTTTTATGGTTCCAATGACTTTTTTCTAAAGCATAATTAAATGCACAATACAAAAGCTAATAAAAGCAAAAAGACAAATAAATTTAAAAAAAAATCAAAGCTATTATTTGAGAAAAAAATTGAAATAACCTACAGTTAAAAATTTATAAATTTAAACATTAACAATCCACGTTTTAAGTACTGAATCTTGACCAACACTAAGCAACTTTTTGGTATCAAGCCAAGCTAATGCATTGATTGGACTCATAGAGTGTGCACCTAAAATGCTCTTTAAAATTATCAAAATAGAGCATATCTATCAAAGTTCCAAAAAATTAATTGCATTCAATCAAATTAAATTTCCTAATTTGTCATTAATCCCATTAAAAATCGTTTTTAATTAGAAAAAAACTAAATTTGATGAAAACTCTAAAATTATCAGCAATTAACTATTTCAAATATGATCTTTTTTAAACAATTACACGATACTAATTCCTGAATAATATTAAGTACTGATTAATACCACCGTCCAAAAAATAATAAATTTGAAAACAAACTAATGACCTTTAATGATAATTGGATGCTCGCCACTTTTTTCCAAATCCCAAATGATGATATTGGTGTCAATCCCACCCGTTGCTATAAGTCGATTATTCGGTGACCAAGCTGAACAATTTACACGACCAGAATGAAAAGTCCAATCCTTTTCCGAGGCTACTGCGAAATCATTCTTCATTGAATATGGCACTACCTAAAAATGTTCAATGCCTAAATTTTACAACAGCGAGAAAATAAAAAATAATAACTCTTCCAAAATTTCTAAATTAGACTTTAAAAATAATAATAATAGCAATAGCTAACAGAAATAATAATTACAAAAAATTGTAATTATAAAAAATTGTATAGTTGTAATTATAACTATAACTATAAAATTATGATTATAATTATAAAAAATATAATTATAACTATAAAAAAACAATAACAATAAGCAACAATCAGGGAGAAAGAATAACTTAATATGCCTTATTGCACTGATATTGGAGTGCATTAAAAAATGCAGATGGCGGTGGATAATATGAAAAATATTCAAATAATTTATAAAATCTTAGCTCTTGTGTAACCAATTTATTTACCACCGATTTACCACCTTATACCATCTTATACCATCAAAGTTTCATTTCTCTCAGAAATTTTTTTCTACCATCTTATACCATCAAAGTTTCATTTCTCTCAGAAATTTTTTTCTCTATTAATTCTTCAACTTCTCCTAAAAAATATTTGTAATTCTAAAATTTTACAATTAAATGTTTCCAATGAGCAGAAGCAGGGGTAAGAATACATTGAAGGGGAACTAAGTGGAAAAAATAAGATTAAAGCAATTAAAAATTAAATTTCTATCAGGAATGAATGATACTCCCAGAGATAAAGAAATTTTTTCAAAATACAGTAGATTTTGGCGAGATCTTAAAGAATTTAAAAAAAAAAACGTTTCAACGTTTCATAGTGAAGAGTTTAAAGAAATACTAGTAATAAAATAGTTCAAGATAGTAGGTGAGGAAGGGGAAGGTGGGAATAATTAGTATCAAAACAATTAGAATAATAACAAGAATCGGACTCAGGAACAATGTAAATAAAACGAAAGTCTTTTCGTCTTATGTGCAAGAAGATGATAAAATACCTCTTTTTGTAAATTCATTGCCAAATGAGGAAGTGCCCGATTTCAAATACCTTAGGTCCACTCTAATACCAAATGGACAGGCAAAAGATAATATTACAACTCGGATCACGGCAGCTAGAAATTCTTCCGGTTGATAAATCTTTATGGAGTCATCGTGAAATCACCATAAAAACGAAAGCTCGCATCTATATAGCCGTGATCCGTTCGATTTTGCTATGGTTCTGATACATGACTAATGAGAGTGGAGGATATTAAGAAGTTATCTGCCTTTGATCACTCTTGTCTAAGGCACATTTTACGGATCCGTCGAGCGGATAAAATATCAGATGATCGCATCCACCTTCGTTCAAATATCACCTTTATTAATAATGTTATCATAGAGCATCGCCCTTGATTAGAGCACGTTCTTCTTCGTCCACCACAGGAGTTGACGCATATTTCGCTATATGCTAAACCGTGTGATGGTCGGCGTCAAAAGCGAGGTGAGCCAATCAAGACCTGGACTGATACGGTGAGAAAAGATTTTGAATGTATAAGTAGACCAGCAATATATGGACTTAGACGATGGAAAAAGGAATGGCTTCCATTACTGTCGACGATATCATCAGACGGCGCCGCTGAGAAGCATCTTACCCTTGTAGCCGTTGAAGCCAGCCTAACCAGTAATGGTGGAAGCTGTTAAAAGAAGAAGAAAAAAATTAAAGTAGCTCACAATATAAAAGTGTTGCTATGTGATTTTTTTCTTAAAGAAACACGATGCAGCTTCCTGAAATGTCGAAGAGAAATATAGATTTTTAGTCGTTAGATTCATATAAATCAAAAATTACAATGGCGTTTAAGGATAAACGATATAAACGATATTCAGAAATATTGATGAAATATACCAAAAGATTATAGTAAATTTAACTTAAGAAAGAGAGCTTTGGAGAGGCATTGACGAGTACAACAGGTTCCCAAGAATTTTCTTATGAGTTATGATGAGGACTGAAATATTTGAAAGGTTGTATAGGTCTAAAGGGAATGATGGTTTTGGAAGAATTACCTTAAAGATAATCGTGATAAGAAGAATTTTGAGGATAAAGGACGGAATTTAACAGAGATAGAAAGAATAGATAGAATTTGACAAATTTTACAGAAAATAAAAGTAAATTCACAATTCATCAACATAAATTCTTTAAACTTTTATTGCTTTTAATTGTCTTTATTTATTTGAAAAAAAATTAAATTAAACTGAAACCTTTCTTACTGCATCAGTTACGACTAGAAACATTCCGTTGAAGTCCCATGATAATGAAGTTATCGCTCCAGAATGCGAAAGTTCTTTCACATTTATCAATTGGTTATTAGCAAACTCGTAAATATGCGCTCTGTTATCCTTATAGAGAATATCATGTTAGATTATAGGCGATGAATAATTGATAAAAATTAAGCTCGTCGAATATCGAATAGAGTAAAATCAACAGCTATAGCCATTATTACCTGTCCCCCCACTGCTATCAGCTTAGCATCAGGAGTGACTGCGACACATGTTGATTCATATTTGTTATTATTTGTGAAAACGCATTTTTGATCTAAAAATACTGCGACTGATTTTTGACAAGCTACAACCACTATTCTACAATCTGCCGAAGCAGCAATACCACGCGGTTGTGACTCCAGTTTGATGAAACTGGGATGGACATCACCTGAAAGCTGGTAAAAATTCAAAAGAAATTTCACTGAAATCAGCAAAATTGAATCAAAAATTTGAAAGAATTGAAACCATTTAAAGCGAAGAACACGAACAACATACTTATGTCGCCGAAGACATTTTCAGTAAATGCGAGGCAATCATCCCAAGCAATGGTAGATAACTGTCCATGATTAGAAACGATCATCCCGGTTATCTATATTTAAATTTAATGATTGCAAGATATGAAAAAATATAATTTAAATAATTTTTCATTTGCTTTTCAAAAATGATATTTAAAAATGATAATATAATGATAATATAATATAATGATAATATTTAAAAAAGAAAACAAGCCTGGGATTTATGTATAATAGGAGTAATACGTTCTGATTTCCCTGATGATAACGACCAACGAGCTATAATTGAACAAAATTTTTGATAATTCAATACATTCTGATAAAAAATAAATGATAAATGCCTATAAGACAGATTAGTTTGCAAAAAATTGACTGCTTCGCTGAAGAAATGAAAAATTTATGGATTATCAATCAGATTTATGGATATACAAGGCAAAACTGATATCAAAAACTCACTAATATTGCCTTCAAAATCGGCAGTAAAAGCTAGAGATTTATCAGGAGATAAAGCAAGTGCCGTGATCGGCTTGTTATGACCACTGATGACTCGTTCGATGCTTTCACTTTTACGATCTAAGTAATTTATAAAACCCGATAGGCTAACACTAATTAAAGCGTTATTTGTCCACACTATGGATAACTGTTGGTCTTCGACCGCATTGCCCATTTTGAAAGTTCTAAATAAGACTCAAGTAATTTAATCAGCAGATAAGAATTAAGAATATTTAGTTTAATTAAAAATAATGTCAATTCTTACTTTATTAAATGTATGATAACAAGATACTAACTTCTCCAGTTGCCTTGAAGCGACATTCCAAATTTTAACTGTTTTATCCCCAGATGCAGTTGCAATATATAGATTATCCGGCGACCAACATAGTCCAAAAACACTGCCAGCATGTGCAACTCCTTTACAGGCCACGTCAACTAGTTCACCCTGTTTCATTCCCTCTACGCCTTCATAAATTATAACCTAAATAAGGACATAAGGAAATTTCTAATATTCCCATATTTTGGGTTTCTATATTTTGTATCTCATTCATTTTACTATATTTGTATTCTTCATTAACATTTCAGCTTTATTTATAGAAAAAATCCTTTTTTCAGTACTTTCATGGATTAAACCCAAGTCCTCGAGTCCTCTACCAGAGGAAGACTGAGGCAAAGCAAATAAACTTTCACAGGGTCTCGCCCAAGAGCCCTCATCAGTAAAGTAGAGAACTGGCTGAGATTCGAACCGTTGTAGTTACATTCCATATTAATCTAAGCTATTCCAGAGCCTTTTACATTATTTAAGTAATATTTGTATTTTATTTATATCTCCTATTATCAATATTTTCACATACTTTTAACCCCACTATATCTTTTTCTTGAATTAATCCAATAAATGAATGAATAAACCTTCCCATCTGCTCCTGCACTAGCAAAAAGCGTACCATCCAGATTATATCGCACACAGTGAACAAAACGTTCATGTTCGTGAAAAAGCTATAATAGTATTGCAAGCAGCAAATATCAAATTAAAAATCAAAAATCAAAAATATTACATTGGAAAGAAAATAAAAAAATATCTCACAGTTTTGAATTTGAAAGGTGGACCCTCAAAAATAGCGATGGTATTATCTTCAGACCCAGTGATTAATCGGTATGGTCGAGCCGGCCGAAAGTCGACACTTGAAGTCGAGCGACTTTGGCCAGATAAATTTCCATTAGACGTGCCCGTATCGAATAAAAAAACATGCCCAAATCTAAAATATCCATTGTTTATTCAAAAATATATATTATTTATCCCCTTTATAACGATAAATAATATTTTAGAATAATATGTAATCGAAATTACCATAAAACATGGAGCCATCCAAAAATAACCCTTTTAATCAATGAATCAATTACCAATATGTAAGAAAGAACAAAATTTTTTATTTCTAGTGATTCTAGTGATAAATTGAAAAATATAAAAAGAATTCAACTAATTACATTTCGATAAATCATTACCATTAAAATTGGCCATCACTACATTGCCATAAAACGAAAATTACCATGATTAAAAACGACAAATAAAAGCAATAAAAGCAAATAAATTACCGATCTCGACCTTCACCGACAACTGCGATTCTCTTGCTATCATCCGACCATGAAATATCTCGCACTGGACCAGCAAGTATAGGATATTCAGCTTTAAGAATGTGCGTTAACTGTGATGCATCCCAAATACGTATTTTTCCTGACTGATCACCTGATGCTATATAAAAACCAGAAGGAGAGCATTTAGCGACTGTTGTTGCTGTTGCATGTTCAGTATACATATCACATTCATTCCAGTTCTGTAATTAATAATTAATATAATTATTTACTTTTTTATGTCCTTAAAAATAAGAAATTTTAAAAAACTGATGTAAACATTCTACTTTTTCATAATCAATTTAAGATAAAGATAAAATTTATTACTTCAATTGAGCGAATATAAACAGAATTTCCATTACAATAAAGTAATTTCTTTCCATCAGCTGTTACATTTAAAACGAGTGGGAGACCGCGAACTGTACGTGGTAATGAAGCAAAAACATTCTCTGAAAAAATATTTCAATAAAAAGAAAAAAACAATAAATAAATAAATAAATATATAAAATAATAAAATATAATCATTGCCAATTTGCCAATTTTACTCCTACAAAGAATCAAAGGTGAAAGAAATCAAACCGATTTAAACTCAATCGAAATAATGATTTAGTCCTACGCACTTAAATTAATAAAAAACAGAATAAATCATTCCTCAAGGTTTTCACCACTTTTTAAATAATATTTCTAGTTTTTCACCAATAAGCGTACAACTATAAGCTCCGCTTGGTGAATCGTTCAAAGAAATATTTCATATTTAAAAAAAAAAATTATTCGAATATTTGTTTTACTAAAGAAAAAATTATTAGAGTGAAAAAACGAATATTCAATGAAATGCAATAAAGCTTCTCAACTAAATATAACTGACGACTCAGCTGACGAGTTATATAAAGCCAAATGATCTCATGAAAAAATCTATCCGATCCGACAAGCCAATGGGACGAGATTAAGCAGAAACAATTGCCATAAAACAAAAAATAAAAAAAAGAGTGATGATGAAAAGGGTGAAAATAAAAAACGCCTAAAAATGCAAATATTTCAAAATAAAATTTGCAAAATTTCGTTAAAATCAAATTTTGCTTCTTAGAAATTATTAAAAAATAAATAATAAAAATAAATTTTCACAAATAAAAAAAATTATTAAAAAAAGATTTTTTTTAAAATAACCTTTACGATAATCATCGACAGAAACCATCAAATTTGTTTTTAATTAAATTGCACTTCGATTAAAATTGCACTAAAATTTTTCTAATTATATTCGATAAAAATAATGAAAAGAAAAAAAGCATTTTATGTAATAAATAAATAAACTTAAACAATTTTTTTTTAATTTTTTCAAAAATTATAAAGTTGAAACCAATTTATAATAATAATAGTAATAATATTATATACAATAATAATGATAATATTAATAATAATAAAATTAATAATATTAACAAATATTAATAAGTAAACAATGATTAATAATAATTAAAATAATAAATAATAAACATAATAATAATAATAAATTAACAAAAATTAAAATAATAAATAATAGCAAATAACAAAGGAAATAAAAGAAATAAAATAAAGAAATAAATAACAATAATATTAATAAAAACAATATAGCTAAAATACACTGTTAAATTGATTACTGAAAAAATTTTAAAAAATTGGCGGCCCGGCCCCTATTTTCCTCTAAACGCAGCCCAAACAATATTCAACTTTATAAACGCGAGAAGACGCGAGATCAATCAAATTATTATTCAAATTATTTAAAATTATTTAATTAAAATAAATAAGATATTTATTCAATATTGCAAATCAGAATTTTTTTTTTTCGCAGAATTACTTAAAATTAAACAAATACAATAGCGACGATGATTTTGCATTCTCCAAACATTTTGCATTCTTAATCCGCTAGAAATTTTTTTCTCGCTGATTATACTAACGATTAATGAACGATTAGGAAAGATTTTCACTTAAATCACTTATCATGACGGATACGTAAAAATAGCCTTTCAATAGATAAATGAATTCGAATTTCATATCGATCGATCGAGAATCAATTATCGAATCTCAAATAAATAATACAATAATAAATAAAATAAATAAATAAATAAATAAACAATTTATGAAATAAATTTGTAATTATAATCCCTTTCTTGATCATTTTTGAACATTTTTGCCCTTTCAATCTTTATTCATCATTATTTCTTAAAACAAAAGTTCAACAAAAGTAAACACAATACAAATGATCCATATAAAAATTTTCAATATTTCATACAAATATAACTTATTTTATGATCAAATATACTGGAAGAATATCAAAAAAATTTACCGTAAGTACAAGAAAATTAAAATTTATCGAATAAATTAATCAAATAAGTAAATTGGAAAATAATACATAACGAAAATTCACCCTGGTTTAATAATACATTATTTAAGATTAGAAACCGAAAAAATCGTCGAAATTTTCAGCAATAAAAGGCCATAAAAAAGTATCGTAAAAGGCATACTAGTGGAAAGAATTACCATTAAAATAACAAAATACCCAAAATAAAACGAACAAAAACCTGAACGTGATATACAACAAACCGATAAGTATTAAATTATGGTGCAAATGAATCGTTCTGAGACAACATCATATAGCCCCACATCGACCGTTCGCGTCTAAGAATACTACGTCGTAACGAAAACCAAACAACAAATAGTGCAAATACAGAAATAATTAATGGTAATAAATAAATTATTCCGCGATTTGTTACATTTTGACGACGTTTTTTTTCTAGAAGTCGCTGCTTCTGAATATCCCTTAACGGAAAATATCTGAAAGCAACGAAACGTTCCATAAACGAAGTACCATCATTCCGAGGAACTTTCCTTTCCAATGCACATTTTTTCTTTTATTTTAATATTATGCAATATGTCTTTGTGTCTTTGTAAATTGAATAAATTCCTTAATCAGATCATTAACAAACAAAAAAAAATCACCTCAGATGATACAATAACGCTCCAAGTGTCCACTGAACTTCTTGGCCTTCAATAAGCAGCACTGATTTAAAATTATTAAAATATTTGTCAACATGGAAACCAAAGTGTAATATTGCTGAGATCCACGCAGATTTGAAGCACTGCATTTGAATTCGTTCTTTGTCTGCTTTTGGATAAAGTCTATTACGCCAACGGTACTAAAATCGATTTTCTGTATCATTGATGAGAAAAGGATTTTATAGAAATCTCTTTAAAAAAAACAAGTAAAAAAAAGTAAGCTACCAAAACTGTAGACCATTTTTGAGCACAAAATTTGCGAGCTTCATGTGCCAACGTCGTAAAATTATATGAACCACCCAATGAAAGTACATCTTCCATTGAAAACCAATATTCACTAAATCCATACAATTCAGTATTAGATAGAGACAAATTTGGAGCACGCACCATGCCCAGCAAACAATTGCGCTTGACACATTCCACTTTTTGATTTTGTTCAGCCAACAATTTTACCAAATGGTCAAAACAATCGTCCCAACTGCCATAACCCTGATTAAAAATTAGCAAGCAAACAAAAAAAAATGACTTAAAACCACATCATTTTTGAATAAATAAGATAAAAATATATGATAAAAAACCAAAAAAAAAGAACAAAATCATTCATTCATTTCAGTTGAAATAACATTAAGTTGTGCCCTGACAGTGAGTGAGCGCTTTCTGTATTTCAGCTCTATTGATATTGTCTCTTACTATGGTTTTTTGCTCTCTCGAAATTTCAATGTTCCCAGTGTTTCAAACTGTCATAATTTTGCAATGAGTTGTGTTTTGTGTTTTGAGTTCTATTAAATTTTAAGTTTGAGTTGATGCTAAGGCTTAGACTTGGAACAAAGGCTACTACCAGTATTTCAACAGCAACGAAATTACATGGAAAACCAATATCTCAACCAGGTTCATTATATTTTGATCAGTCGTCGTTGGAAGAGTTCTGCATGGCATAGACATTTTTATAGCGTGATAACGCTCAAAAACTCTCTCAATCTCTCTCAAAATCTTTCCATCAAAAAATATGATAATACCTTTCTCGTAAAAATTGACCCATTCTCCATGTGAATCTGCTTTACAAGATTTTTAGGCAAGCATGGATCGCGAACATATGGTGCATTATTCTGAATTAAATGATTCTTCATATAATTTTCATATTTTTGAAGTCCTTGATTAACACCAAAACCAAGAAATGTTGATACGAATAATCGATACCTGCAAAATAAAAAAAATCAAACAAATAATATTAGCGAAAAAAAATAAAATAATACAAAGATTCTGTAAAAATGAATGAAAAAATATACATGAAAACGTCATTATTATCGTCACAGCCGAGATTTATTTTTTGAGAAAACTCGTCTTCTTCGCCACTTTGGTTAGTCTCGACAGCGATTTGTACAGAGCCACCACCCATGTCAATTATTCCAACAGTAGGTTTACGAAAATTTTCATCTTTTTTAAAACTGAAAGCGAAAAATATTTGATTTAACTAAATGAAGAAAGAAAAGTTTATCTGCAAAGGAAAATTCAACAATACAATTAATAATAATAATAAATAATAATAATGTAATAACGATAGTAATAATAGTAAACATAATAATATTATAACAATATTATAATAATAATACAATAATATAATAACATTATAATAATAATTAATAACAATTAATAATAATAAATAATAATTAAATAAACACTAAAGAAAACAAAGTCTAACCGCCCGAGAACATAATTTACTGCAATCCATGAATATATTCCCTCCCAATCTCCACTAATTACACGTATATGTTCAGGTAATACTTGCATAGGTACAACTGCAGAAAGATTCTCGTGCAAATTCTTCAAAATCAAATTTTGTTTGCTAAAATTCAACGATATATAATAAATAAAATAATAAATTTCGATAAATTACTTTAATAATTTCAATAAAACTTAGGAAAGAATAAACTTACTGAACTGGAATAAGGCGCATGCCAGCAGTTGCAAAAATGAATAATGATGTAAATTTTACTTTATCAAACGGAATAAACTGAATAGCATAATCCAACAATGGCTTTAAATAATCTTAAAAAATAAAAAAAAAATTTCACCACTTTAGATTTAATCTTCGAGAACAAAAAACAAATTCACAAATTTGAATTGATAAACAAATTTTCATTTTTTTTCAGTATGGTAAAAAATAAGTAAACAAACATAAATCAAAAAAATTGCCTGTTGCATTTTCAGGATTATCGGCAAATGATGACAAACCAGGATTGATCTTTTTAATAACATGACGTCTTATATTGTCATAAGCTGGACGAATATCAATTAATAATTTCTCGGAAACTGATCTAAACCGATAGAGATAAAGCCTCGATCCAGTTGATCCGGCATCGATAATCACCGCATAATTCCAATCATCTTAATTGGAGAGAAGTGACAATAATAAAATAAAAGAAAAGAATTAATTGTAATAAATATAAATATTTGTAATAGAAAAATATTTATATTTTACATATTTATAAAATATTTAAAAATATTAAATATTTAAAAATAAATGTTGGTTGGAGATTTATTTTAATATTTTACACGTTGTAATTGAAAAATCGTAAAGAAAAATCTTAAAATATTAATAAAATTCATAATAAATTTGAAGAATTAAACAATACTTAATTTTTATCAATAAAATTCAATTATTTATAATTATTTGATTATTTATTTATTTAACCATCTTTTATTTATATAGTTATATGGAGATGAATGAAAAAACTTTTTTCTTACTCGAATAATCCTTATTAGAATTAAAATGCCAGAAAATCTAAATGATTAAAATTATTAAAATTAAAAAGACGTATTAGTAAAAGAAATTCAAATTTATTTTCATTCGTCCTATTAATTACTGGAATGAACAGCCAAAAATCTATATATTAACTCAAAATACTTCGCAAAAAGACTGAAAAATTATTAATATAAGCAATTAATTACAATTATTAACTATATAGGCCCGAATTTTTTCAAAGAATTTTTTAGGGAAAAAATTCATATGTAATGAAAAAAAATTGAAAATTGAAAATGAAATTGTAATATTCACAGTATTTTGGCATTAATATTTTTCATGTTAACTTTGCTTTTTTCTTTTAAAAATGAAAAAGGAATCGTCAAATTTAGTTAAAAAGAAAAAATTTGGTTAATAAATATTCTTTCAAAAATTTCTGGTAATTTCGTTATTTTAAAATATTTTTTTAAAAAAAATCTTAAAGCAATTCTTGAAATGAAATGGATACAAAATTTGAAGAATTTTAATCAATTTAAAAATCATTTTTAACATTATTATTATTTTTTTAATTTTAATTTCCTTTTCTTCTTTATCAATTTCTTTTTTTCCTTTCTTTCATTTATTTCCTTTTCCTTAAAATTTCCCTTTATTAATCACTAATATTATCTACTACTAATTAATAATATAATTCAATATAATTATATATTATATATTATATCTGTTTCATATACTGCAATTGATACATTATATTTTTAAAAAAATATATAATATATTTAAATAGGATAAAATTAAATTAATTGAATTAATATAATAAATTATCTAATGATGTGGCCTATGCGATATCTGTAAAGTAATCAAAAGTAAGTAGTTTAGTGAATACCATTTTTTATTAAGCTCGTTCCACTAACTATTGATGTGATTGGAAGTTTCTGCCAAGAAATCAACTGATATAGAAATACAGTTGGGTTGACAATATTATCCAATCGCATTTTTTAATGACAAGTTTATTCTGATCAAAGATCTAGAGACAATAATTTGAACTAGTCGGTTATCCTACCTCTGTGCAACATCTATCTGATCACATATAAGAATGATTTAATAGTTACATGTCAATCGATGATTTATTCGCTTAAATTAAGCATAAGCATAAATTATATTCCCTTCTAACTTTTTATATTTTAGCTTTTCAAAATAAAGATTTTGAGATTACATGAGGTTAGAAATGATATTTGTGAAAAGATGGCGGCTAATTCTAATTAATTCTAAATAATTGTTTGTTCAAGTAATTAAAACAAATAAATACATTAAAATATGTTTATATTTAATATAATTAAATATTTACCTAGAATTAACCTATATCTTATGACATACATGGTCAAATACAATTGACAGCAAGCGCCATAGATTCAATTCCTTTACCTGTACCTTGTAAAAACGTATACCCTACTAATGACTCATCTATTCTTCTTCTTTTAACATCTCCCACCATTACTGGTTGGGCTGGCTCCAACGGCCACAAGGATAAGCGCTTCCAAGCGGCGCGGTCTAATGCTATCGCTGACAGAAGCCATTCCTTTTTCCATCGTCTAAGTCCATATATTGCTGGTTCACTTACAAGTTCAAAATCTTTTCTGACCATATCAATCCAGGTCTTGATTGACCCACCTCGCTTTTGACACCACCCATCACACGATTTAGTATATAACGAAATATGCGACAACTCTTGTGGTGGAACGTGCATTAACCATCAAAGGTAATTCTCTGTGATAAAATTATCAATACAGGTGGTGTTTGAACGAATGCGATCAAGTGATGTTTTATCCGCTCGACGGACCCGTAAAGTGCACCTCATACAAGAGTGATCAAAGGCAGATAACTTTTCAATATCCTCCACTCTCACTGGTCATGTTTCAGAGCGATATAGCAAGATTGAACGAATCACGGCTATACAGATGCGGACTTTCGTTTCTGTGGTGATATCACGACGGCTTCATAAAGATTTCATCAACTGGAAGAACACATTTCTAGATGGCGTGATCCGGGTGGTGAAATGGCCATTTGGTAACGGTGGATCCAAGATTTTTGATGGCTCAACTATTCCAACATTCTCAATTAATTTTCTAGTAAAATTGCAATCTAAAAACCTCTAATTTCAGTAATCAGAAATAGTGAATTGAATTAGTGAATTAGAATATTGCAGAAAAATATTTCAAGAAAAAAAAAAACAAAAATGAAATAGGAAAAAAATACCATTTGTCGCGAAATTATCCAATTGAAAAATTATCGGCAAAATATAAAAAGTAGATGAAAATGCTACAATAACCAATAAAAGAATAAATAAAAAACATTTCTCTTTATTTATGTCAATATTTAAATTAATTCGAAAACCTATAAAAAAATTTTAGAAGAAAAATTAATTTTTATAAAGAAAAACAAAAATAAAAAAGTGAAAGAAAAATAAATGAATTTTATTTTTCTACATTTATCAATAAAATTCATTCATTATTTAACAATTAATAAATAATTATAGAAACGATATAATTTACTTATTTTAAAATAAAATGGCTCTTTAGTATTATTTCGATTAATTTGTTTGGTTAATCCCACTCGCCCCTCTCCCCCTCCCCCTCCCCCCACCCGTTCCCTTAGCCTCACAATATGGGAACCATATATTAACCTTTTTATGTTTTACTAATTTAAATTAAAATCACCATTCTCATATTATTTTTATATTGATTAAATAACAATGATCTAAGTATTGCTATAAATATATGCATTGCTTCGTCTTTCTTTATTAAAATAAATAAATAATTAAGGCAATCAGAAATATTTACCTGAACTACGAAGAAACATTCAATTAATACATTAATTAATAAATAAAAATAACAATATTATTTTATTTAAATCGCTAAACTGAAATTTAAAATTTAAGCTTAATGTCTGAAAAAGAAAATTAAGTAAAAAAAAATATAAATAATAATATTTGATTTAAAAATTATATTTTAGCTAATTTATGAAAATTTTCTATTTCTTAAAAGTCCTTAAAAAAAATTTCGAACTAAAAGATAAAAACCAATAAATTATTTAAAAAATCTTTAAAAAAGTGTGATAATATGATAAGGGTGACAAAGTGATAACATATATATATATGGCAATAATGATAACAAAGTGGTAATACATGGAGTATGTTGGCTCTTGTCCAATACGGTTTTAAGACGAAAATTTGAATGGATTTGGCGGGAAAGATTCCTTAAATATTTTTCATGGGTGCGCATGAGTTTTTGCAAACGCGTAACTTTTTAGGTCACAAATTGTAATGCTTTTCTTTGTATTTATCACTCATTTATTTGTTAGTTTATTTTTATTTCAGTTATACATTCTAAAAATCGGAATGGATTGGTACTACCTTTGGAACTATCTGAAATCGTTGGCAGGCCAGGCTTATTTGGATGAATTTTGGATGAAAATTCTGGATGAATTTTAAAATAATTGAAAATTTCGTAAAATTTCGCGGAACGATTAAATGGTAAAATAAGCGAAGCGTTATCATTCATTGTTATTAGGCAATAATTTCTCGATTGATGCTCTAAGTTTATCATTTGTCATTATCATTTATTGAAGTAAGTGAAAGTTGTTTTGCTAAATTTGTAAAAAAAAAAAAAATTAGAAATTTAAATGGCTATAAAAAATATTAAAAGAAAAAGAAAAAGAAAATTTTTATAGGTTTTTTTGCGAATCTAATAGAAGAATTTTCAATTGACTTCAATCAGTTGGTTCAGTCACTCTGAGAAGTATGAGAAGAAAAGCAGCAGAAGAGGTAATGCAGCTAATTTAATGTCTATTATATCTTTGAATAATAAGAACCTCAAAAAAAATTAGATAATATCATCATATTATCATATCATAGATGATTAATTCTTTCACTCAAAAAAAAAATTGAATATATTTTATCATTTTGAAAAAAAAATAGCCTAACTTAATGAATAATAAACGATGATGGAAATTCTTTTGAAGAAGAGATTATGGCTTTTGATAAGCAATTCGTATAAGAAATATTAAAAGTTAGAAATTTTGATAATTTATTAATGGTTTTCGTAGGAATTATCTGCATTGATAAAAAATATATTGATAAAAAAAGATTGCAGATTGCGACCGTTGCAGTTTAAATTTTACGCAGTATAAAGAAATTCACGCTCTCGCTTGCCCAAAAGATGGATTTTTTGCAAAAGGATTTCGCTATGAAATAACAAGAATTATGATGATAACTACGCAAAGAATGCTATCTTCGCAATCGACAACTCGATATCGCGTAATTTTTGGTGAGAATTCTTCAAACTTTTTTGAAACATGCTTCTTCAATAATGATTTCAGTAAATTTTAAATCGTCCTTGCCTGTTCAAAATATTAAAGCATAGAATTCTCGACCAAGAAAGAGTTTGTTTTTCTGTTTTCAATAATTTTTTTTGCCTTTTCTTATATTATTATCAGACTTATGTCTAAGCTATTCGATTTTGAGTTCTTATTACTGTCACATCTAATCCTTATAGTATTATTTTCTTTTTTTTTTCTGAAATCTAATTGGACGATAATATTAGAGATTGTAAGTTGAAAATCGATGGATTTGAAACTGTGCGTAAGGATCG